TTGCATTCAAAGTATAATTTAATGAAGATAAAGCATGGCTTCTAACTTTTAGTGTTTCATACCAACTGAAAATTTCTGTTTCACATCGATTTTCATGCTCTGAGCAAGAATTTTCTGAATCAAATCTTGCATTAATCATTTCACTTTAGATGCTCGTTGCGTTACCTAAGAACCTAAGAAACCTTTCCAATAAAATTCTGCAAGCAAACCAGTGTTGCTTAATTCAAAACTGAATTTTCATCTATACCTCTTGTCTCTTCATATAGTATGTTACCCCACTCCTTGCTTGAGATTCCTGTAACTTCTTGATTACTTCCATTGTCCTTGTGAGAAACGTTATGTTCTAAAATATTACATGATTACAATAATGCTACCTATATTATGGAAAATTGAATGTATAATAGTGTAAACAATTTATTATCATGCTTCCAACTGCAGACACCAAGAGCTAAAGCAAAGAGAAGGGTGTTCAAAGCAGCATCAACCAAGAGCTGACCAAGGACTGCAATGGTTTTTGCTTTACCGCTGAGCATGTAGTCAACTGCATTCGATAGGTATGCAAGATTTGAAAAAACTTTAACCCGATCTCGGCCATTAGATGAACAATAGAACCAGGGAAGCTCATTTGCGTGTGAAATGCGCCAATGCAAATTATAACATTGCTGATAGGATCTCCGGTTGGCTCAGTTTGAATAATAGGCTGGTCAAATGTAATAGTTGGATGTTTTGCACCGTGTTTCTGAGCATGTTCTGCAATGAATTTAAAAGTTGAGTAGATGCATGTTTTGTTATTTGGGTCCTGGTCTATTATTGGCAGAAAAAACACGGAGGATTTCTTATACGATCTTTAACAACAATTGTGCACTGTTGTTTATCAAGACCATCAAAGAGAAGAACAGTTTTTTCTGGATTATTGATTATAAAGTCGTAAATTTTAGGAAATTCTTGATAGTTTTACCAATTCCTGGCCTTCAAATAACTAAAATGGTACGGGAATACGATTGGTCCTGCTTCCCCTGGATTGGTTTAAAAATTTCTGTTGCCCTTGTTAATTTTATTGTATCTTTTCTTATTGTAAGATAGCAATGAAAGATTTCGTGCCTTTTAAATTTTTCTGGATAAGCATTCTTTAATTGTCTTTCTGCTTGTATAATGAAGTTTATAAAAATATCGTCAAGATTTCGCCATTCTTACATGTCGTCATGCATTACACATTGTTCGTTCTTGTCAAAATTATTTCTGATTTTTTCCAAAGGGTCTCCACATTCTTTGGCTCTCCGCGCCCGCGGTACAAAATTAAGTAAACTGTGCCAAATTTATCCTCTTCTTTAAAAAAGTTTTTAGTCCAAGCCTTATACGTCAAGTAACACAGCTCTAAAATTGTTAGTGTCATTACAATTAAATCGACTGATAAAATTAAGGTTTCACTTTTATCACCGTTGGGATTTTCACAAAAAGTGGTAGAAATGCTGTGATTTAACAAAGAAATTTCTTTCATTGTTGAACGTCTTTTACAGGTGTAGTAGATGGGAAATTTGGCTGAGAAAAGTAATCCAACAAAGACAGACCATATGATGAAGCGAACCACCAACTGAACGATGTACATGTAAAATGAAAAAAAATTAAATGCAAAGTTATTAGATTGATGAATTTCTTCGCTATATTTTGCATTTAGAAGTTCACTTTGTTCATCACTGTTTTCTATTGGTCTGTTATTATCATTATGTTCAATTCGACGCTTTACATAATATCCACAGGTAATACTCCAAATTAAGACAATTCCAAAATTAAACACAACACAAAAAAACAACATACTTGAAAGTTAGTCCATCTTTGTATTGTCTGAGACATTTTGATTCAGAGCTCTACAAAAGAGAGCTCTCTTTCCTTTTTGATATAATCTCATTATGACAATTAAAAAAAGTATCATGATATAAAATTAATGAAATACTAGAAACAATAATGCCAAATATACTAAAGAAAATCAATATTATTCTTCCAGTTAAAACTGCTCCATGGTATGTATTCAGGGCACTTTTCCATTGGTATGCTTCAAAAAAATACATTAGTTAATTACATTAGCTCAAATTTTAAACGCTTGTCGGGTTCTGGGATAAGTTTTAAATTGTGGAAAAAATTAAATTCTTTGACTTTCCTTTAGATGCGTGAACTCCAACAATTTTTCATGTTATTAGTGTTTGGATGACTACACTAGGATTTTATAAGTTTTGTGGTAAGCAAATTAGTCTAAATGATGTTTCTCAAAGTTTTCACTTCATAAAAAGAAAATGAACAGTCAATAAAGCAACGATTAAAGTGCACATACATTTAATTCCAAATTCGTTGAAATTTTAAAGTTTAGACTGTGGAAAATATGATTTCGAAAAAAATTTCGTAAAAAAAGAAAAAACAAAGTTTTTTTTTGCGGTTTGAATTAGCTTGCTTTTGAGAAATTTCCGCGCCGCTGAGGGGACTTAAAACGAGAGGTTTGTGACGTCATTTAAGGAACGTATGAATGCGCTGCATACAAAACAACATAGTGTGAAATAACAGTTCTTTATATATTGCTTTAAATTAATATAAAAATTGTACGAAACATGTCGACATCTGATTCTGAGTCGAGTACAGCAACAACAGTGGAAAATATTCAATTGAACAGTCGGGAATTCAATTTAGAAGACGAAGATCAATCGTCATCAAATGCGCTCCGAAACACCGATGGCGATTTTGAGTATGGCCAAGCTGAAGCGTATGAAAACGAACCACTTGCAGATGTAGAGTGGTTAAAAAAGTATATTAGAGAAACAGAAGAAGAAAGACGCCAAACAGAAGAGCTCGAACGCAGAATGCAAAATGAAGTTACTCTTGATTCTTGGTAAGAAAAGTTGGAAAATTTGTTTATTTATTGTTGCCGAAGCTTTTGACAGATAACTTTCGTAGGTGCCATTGTGGTAACTGCCGTGTTCCTCTTTTGGTTAATCCAAAAGAATGTAGATGCTGCCACGAAATTGCCAATTGCATGATTGAAATGCAAGATCATATGGTGGTATCCGAATTGGGAAGGCAGCCAAAATGCATAACAGAGCATCCAGGATTGGATGCCATTTGCCTCAATCGATGGGCATTAAATTTAGCTGCCAATCTTTACCAAAGACAAGATGGAGTTAGATATCATAAACGATTCTTGGAGCAAAGGTTTGTTAGAATTATTAGTTAAATGTTTCTGTCTGGGTTATCTATGAATGCACACTTGCAAAATTTGTATTTTATGGACTCCTACCTGTTTTAATGGACCTTGTGTATTATGCCTTTTCAGGTTTTTTCGAGTTGTTGCATACAGACAATTTACAAGAATGGTACATGGCATTCTTCGAGACAAAAGAATTCCACTTCCAGCTTGTGCTTACCATGTTATTCGAAAAACTTTTAATTTAAAAAAAAATGAACACTTTGCAGGGTATGAAGAGGACAATTTGTAAAATAACATAACATTATATATTATATGTTTGTAAATGATGATCGTCCAGGTTAATAAAGTCCTGAGAAGGACTGTTTTTGTTGTTGCTGACTGACGTTTCGACAACCTTAGCGGTAGTCATCTTCAGAGTCAAATGAGGAGTAAACGTCAGGTTGGCCGTATTTGTCGTCTGGTTCTTACGTCATTGTATTGTGTGTACAGAAAATGTGCAGGAAATGTGTATTGTCAATGTGGATTAGTGTGAAGTGAAAAATTTTATTTTTAGTTGTGATGTGTCATTTAGGTGTGACATTTTTAGTTGTAGTGTGTGGGTGTCAATTGTGTATTGTCATTGTCAATTAGTTTGAAGTGTAATGTTTCCCTATATCGGGGAAACTGGCAGGAACTTAAACATAAGACTTACTGAGCACAAACGAGCTACTAAGAAACAAGACAAAACTAATCACATTGCCGAACATCAACGAATCACAAAGCACAACATTGACTGGGACTCGGCAAAATGCATCACTTACAGTACTGACTATAGACAACGGCTTACATTAGAAAGTTGGTATACCAACTTGGAACAAACCCCCCTGAAAAGATCACACCAATTACCGGCACCTTACAAACGACTTATTCACAATACAAACAAACGATCAATTAAAAACATTACACTTCAAACTAATTTACAATGACAATACACAATTGACACCCACACATTACAACTAAAAACGTCACACCTAAATCACACATCACAACTAAAAATAAAATTTTTCACTTCACACTAATCCACAATGGTATTACACATTTCCTGCACATTTCCTGTACACACAATACAATGACGTAAGAACCAGACAACAAATACGGCTAACCTGACGTTTACTCCTCATTTGACTCTGAAGATGACTACCGCTAAGGTTGTCGAAACGTCAGTGAACAACAACAAAAACAGTCCTTCTCAGGACTTTATTAACCTGGACGATCATCATTTACAAACATATAACGATACTCCCGGGCTCAAACCATTTACTTTATTATATATTATTTTAGGTGTTGTTTGCATGAGCCCAGCTAGTAGGGATTCAGTAAAGTGTGGAATGATTGCCACTCTTGATTTATTGCATCTTCGATTCACACTTATACTTGTTATACAAAACATACAAAATTACAATTCCTTTCTCTTTATTCTGTCCATGCAGTCAATTCACACTTCACTGAATCCCAACTAACTGGGCTCATACCACCAGGTAATAAAAAACTGTTTACTTTCGGTTTTTTGGACAGTTCATTATATTTTTATGGCCTTTCATCCAATTCTTGCACACAGTGCATCGAGGTGCTGCTCTCTCATTTCTCTGATTAGTGATTATTTCTTCGACAGGTGATACTTCAGCTATATCAAACAATAAAGTGAGTCAGTTCCAAAAATAAGATTCAAATTAACTCAAAGCAAGTAATGCCTTTTGTAAAATCTGGCTTAGTTGGGGGGAAATGTACAGCTGGCATGCTTTTTCTTCTTGCTTTTTTTGAGATAGCTTCACTTTTTGATTGCTTGTCCAACATGGAATTCATTGGCAATGGAGTCATTCGTAAAAGATCACCTTTGGCTTTTCTCAATGTTTCCTCATCAATGAGTGCAGAGCACAACACTTGATAAATATCTTCAACATACCCTGGAGAAGCAATGTGCAAATTATTCAAAATTTTATTTTATGGTAACCATTTCTTATTAAGGCTTTCATTATTATGGAATTAAACACATAATATCTGGCAGTAGGAAAAATGTATTAAATAACCTTACCAAAATCCTGAGCAACTTTTACATTTCTTACAACAGCTTCACCATTTTTAAATTTTGGATAATGCACTTTAACCTGGGGAACTCCATTAACCTCTGATTATCCCTGTCCAAATTGCTGTTGAAGTGAGTAACAGCAAGGATATGCCTTCATGAAATATAAAATTGCATTCAATTTCTTGAAAAAGTTTAAATTGGCACAAGGGAATAAAAACTGTAATGACACATTGGTGTTTCATCACACATGTTTCATAGAATACCTGCAGAACATCCCAGGAAAAGAGTAGCTTATCATTTTGGGTGCAAACTGGTTAAGAACTGAGTGAAATCCCTCCAATGCACTTGTTTGAGACATTGGAGAAGCTTTAACGATTCCAGCAATCAACCTTGGTTTAGTTAAAGATGCATACATCTTATTGTATGATATAGAATCTAAAGACAAGGCAATGAATGAGAGATTATTAAACACATAATATTTCTTTTTAATAGCAACAAGAATTTTTTTAGATTTTTTACCTTCATTTACTCATTTGCGTGGTTTTATGTTGGAATCATGAGCACATTTGTCAATTAAAGGGTCCGAAAATCCACTGTGTTGGTTTTCGACATGACCAAGGAAAGATTTAAACTTAGCCACAATCACATTTCCGTTACCAGAAGGTGTTGATGTAGCACTCCAGTACAAATGGTTGGAACAAGGTCTTATCCAGCTTGATAAAGACTCACATCCACCACATTTTGCAAGTTTGGTCAGGTCCTTGGTCACTTCTAAGATGAAATATAAAATATGTTTTAGATAAACACTTCAATTATTGATGCCAGTATAGGTAGTAAATTGTATACTAGCTATATGTTAGATTTTTGCTTCATAAAGTACTGCTTCATTAACTAAAAAAATCATTACTTTTTGTCAAATGCCAAAGGTCAAAGTAGTGGGTAATACTTGGACAATTCTCTCTCAAATGTTTGGCAATTTGTGTGTGCCTGTCATTGATTAACATGGAGATTGGAATTTTGCGAGATTTATGAAAATCCATCGATCTTTTAAATCCCTCAAACTCCATACTAGTGCTATTTCCAACTTCATTTCTCTACAAAATAGCAAATAGGTAAACAATTTTAAAGAAGAAAATCACATAATTCAAAGAAATGTACCTGCACAAGAGAAAAACTAATGATTTGAGGTACTGTGCAACAGAATGTTGTATATGCACAATATTTGGCACTATGTCCCATGGAATCATGTCTTCCATCCCCAGCAATTGCAATAGGCTGTTTACATGTCATCACTTTCTCTATCAAACTGTCTTGGTATTTTTTCCAGTAGATCACCAATGCAGGATATACTTTTTCCTACACAAAATTTTAAAAAGACTTTCAAGCTTTTCATTTGATTGTAGTAATTTCTTTACATCTTTCTTTTACACTATTAGATAAGTTTTACTTACATGCTGGTGAGAGAAGTATGTACTCAATGAAATGCATGCCAATCCCATATGCTGTAGAACTCTGATCACCTTTGTGGCAGAGGTTCCAGCAGTCAAAATACCAAATGACAATAGACAATTTCCAGCAGGAATGGAAGTCCCAGTCATGACTGGTTGACTATTCCATGTTGTGGCAGTTCCAAATTTTTGATTGGAACAACTAACTTTCACTTTTGCCATTGAACCATTTGCAATATCTCAACAAGAACATCATCTGATTTGCAAATTGGGCAGAATTTAAAAAGTTCAAACAGTTGGGTTAAGAACACAATGAATTTTTTCTCTGTTCTTAGGTTGGTGTCTTTGTTGAGCACTCTACAAAAGAAAAAAACTCAATTTATGAAATGCAATAGCTGCTATCAATAAATACAATTACATTACATACTGGCACACATTATTTGTGTCATCAAGGTAGTGACTGATTAAATAAGCTGTTTAACTTTCATTTATTTAACAATCACCACTATTTTAACATTGTCATGGTGATTGATACATTACAGTTCTCCTCCAAAAATTGTTACCTTTTAAATGGTCTTGGCTGCTCTGATTCAGAGTCAACTTCCATGTCACTAGATGTGATTATCTCTTCTGTCTCAGTCTCGTAACTTTGTTCAGCACCAAGGTCATTCTCTGAGTCTGAGTCACCACTAAGATCATTTGGGTCCAAAATCTCCTCAGCGGGACAACTATCAAGATCAACCACTTTGCTACTAGTTGATGATTCTGCATTGCTGCTGTTGTTGTCATACTCATGTATGAAATAAGATACTTCAGTAATGCGCAGCTACACAAGATTGATTAAGTCCATATTTCTTAGTAGTTAAATTCAATAATTTTCCAGGGGTGCATGTAAGCTTAGTTGGTAGTATTGTAGAAATTGAGGTTATTACACATAGCTGATCCTATTACGTTGGCAAATCTTCTCTTGACCTAGAATCATACATGAAATAAAATTAACAGGCGTATTATCTTAAAAAACACTTACCCACTGCAAGCATATCCATATTAGAACAGCTTGCATAAGTTCTGCTACACTGAAGCTTATGCTTTGCCCGAAGCCATAAGTTCCTGTAACGACGTTTCTCTTTTTCAAGTTTTAAACAATTTTGTCATTGTAATTCACATTGCACAGCTACTTCCTAAATTAGGAACAGCAGCAATACATATACAAAACAATAATTTACGTTAACCTTTACAGCAGTGGCGTAATATTCATATAAGTTTACTTTCTCTAATACAGGCTCATCACAAGTTGTTTCTTCTATTTGCTCTTGAGGTTCGCTATTTGTCCTTGGAATATTTTCTGATTCAACCTCTCTTTTATAATCAGACATCCACTTTCTTTTCATCTAAAATGGCATCTATTTATGAAATATACTCTCACACAGATTCCAGGTAAAATGTAGATATGCATATGTATAATTTCAACGTACTCACCATTCTGCGATCTCTTTTTGTAAGTTCATTGTCATCTTTTCGAGGATAAATGCTCGGGTAAGCAACGATTCCGAATTCATCTCGAATGAGTCGAGGTGCAAAATTACTTTCTGATTCAGAAAGCGAGCCAAATTGCCGAGAAAACGAATCTTTTGTGAAATGTTCCGGGGAAAATGCGGAATTCTTTGTGGGTACCCACTTATCGCGAGTAGCTTTCACAAAGTTGACCCATCGCTTTCTCCAACGCTTAGCTTCGCTTCTTTCGTCGTTAAAAAATAGTATGCGATGAAGTGAAATGCCTTTCTCCAAACTGGCTACGTTAGAACAACCAAAAACTACACATCGATCTGGCATTTTTGTGTTTGTTTACGTGGATAAACAGTGTAAGTTGTATTGGAAGTCAGTCTGTGTTACTTAAATCACGTCACAAGTAAGTCCCATGCCACGGATTAGAGCTCTCGACATTTTTTACAAAACGTTGAAATTTAGGTTTTATTCGCATCTTTGCCGAAAGATAACACAAAAACGAAAAAAGTTATTCAAATTCTGTAAACGGCATTTGTATTATTTATCCAAAGTCTATTTGAGAATAAAAAACGAAAAATAACTGTATGTGCACTTTAAGTAAAACATCATTTCCAATATAAAAATATCATTGGATAACATATGATAATCACTAGCTGTAAATAATGGTTCCTATGAATTGTTTGGTTAGTATTTTGGTTAAAACAGTTCTTTTAAGAACTATTACATTGTTATTATCACCATTCACCATGGTATTTGCTATTTTCAAATCTATCTTTAAGTTTGTCACCACGACAAAGTCTCTGTTTCATATGATAATCAATTTAACATAAATTAATAGAATTCAAAAGTCGAGCATAATTAAGTAAGGGAATTAAATTAACTTTATAAAAGTTTGTAAAAAATGCTGTCAGTGTTACTACATGGCTTAAAAGAAAAGCGAAACTACACGATATAATAAATAATGTCAAATGAGGGAAGCGAATTAGGATGAACTCTCCACAAGAATAAATGCATAATTCAGAGAAACACTCTCTGATTTCTCAGGTTAAGCAAACTATCTGATATTTGACGGAGCATTATGCCATTTTGAATCAATATTTCCTCATTTATAAGTTCAATCAAGCATGTTATCAATCACTTGTCCAAAGGCAACTATATAAACAAAACGTGCAAAAACGTGCCTTCTAATGCAAAATAAGCTATGTGACATAAAGAAGCCCTAATTGTTCAATTTCTCTGGGAAAATATCTTAAGTGCGCTTTAACTAAAGCTGCAGAGATGAACTTAGAGAGCATCACAGTCCAAATATGTGCAGGGGAGGATTCTTTTGATGTACTTTATCTCTCACAATGTCTACCTAAATGTCTAGATAGGCAATGTCTAGGTAGACAATGTCTAGGTACACAATGTCTAGGCCACAAATTGAAAAATTGTTGCAAGCAATAATAAGAGAACAAAATCATATAAAGTTGAAGGCCCCATCTTCTCAAAATTGTCAAGAATAATTTTAACAACACAAAATCAATTATTACACAACTTGATTATTAATATGTTTGTAAATGCAGATCGTCCAGGTTGGTATAGTCCTGAGAAGGACTGTTTTTGTTGTTGTTGACTGACGTTTCGACAACCTTAGCGGTAGTCATTTTCAGAGACAGATAAGGAGTAAACGTAAGGTTTGACGTATTTATCTGGTTCTTACGTCATTGTATTGTGTGTACAGGAAATGTGTGGGTGTCAATATTTGTATTGTTATTGTGAATTATTGTGAAGTGAAATATTTTTATTTTTAGTTGTAATTTGTGGGTGTCAATTGTGTATTGTCATTGTAAAATAGTGTGAGGTGCAAGAAATAGTGAGAGAACAATTGATCGTTTGTTTGTATTGTGAATAAGTCGTTTGTAAGGTGCCGGTAATTGCTGTGATCTGTTCAGGGGGGTGTTGTCTATAGTCAGTAAGCTGTTTTCTATAATCAGTGGTGTAATTAATGCATTTTGCCGAGTCCCAGTCAATGCTGTTCATTGTGGTTCGGTGATGTTCGGCAATGTGATTAGTTTTGTCTTGTTTCTTAGTAGCTCGTTTGTGTTAAGTAAGTCTTATGTTTAAGTTCCTGCCAGTTTCCCAGATGTAGGAGGCGTGGCAGTCGGAGCAGTTTATTTGGTAAACTGCACCTTGTCGCTCGTTTGATTGTTCTTCGTCCTTTATGTTCGTTAGTACTTGTCGTAACGTTGTGATTGGTTTATGTGCGACACGTATGTTGTATGGTCGTAAGATACGCGAGATAGTCTCAGACGTACCTTTCTTGCTGTTGTCACTGAGTTGCTTGTTTCGTTGGGTTCGTTGGGTTTGTAAGTGTTGCGTTTGATAAAGTCAGAGTTATTATTTTTTTGTCGAAAACACATTAGAGATAGTTGTTTTCGTTATGTAGAGCGTCCGAGATAGTTCGAAACAACGAAAACAAAAATGTACAACTATGTACAACTGTGAGCAAGTGTGTACACATTTCCTGTACACACAATACAATAACGTAAGAACCAGATAACAAATACGGCTAACCTGACGTTTACTCATCATTTGACTCTGAAGATGACTACCGTTAAGGTTGTCGAAACGTCAGTCAACATCAACAAAAACAGTCCTTCTCAGGACTATACCAACCTGGACGATCAACATTTACAAACATGTGATGATACTCCCTGGTTCAAACCATTTACCTTATATTCTTTCTTACCACCTGCCTCTCTATCCCAAGTTCGACTTTTTGTATTCCCACCTGCCGCGTGCAAGGTGTAATGTTACCTTGCCAGCCATGGTTCTATGGTTCTTATGCACATGAGGACAGTAATGGCCAGTCGAGTTATGCGCCCAACATCGAATTCTTATTATTTTTTGGCGTATTTGCTCAGATTTTAAAATTTTGAAGTGAAAGAAAACGATCAGATCAGTTTTGAACTCAAGATGGTGCGATTGTCCTATGGACAGCCACAAGTGTTCCACTCGCCATGCAAAAAAATAACAAAGATTTCATAGCGTGATCACCACACCAGCAATTATCCCACTTAGCCAGACGAGGGACACACCATCCCGTTGTCGGCTTGACAAGTGAATGGGACAAAACAATACTGCCTTGTTCTATATTTTAGGTTAACAGTATACAGAGTATATTGTAGGATTATTTAATTTGTCTGCTTAGACCTAGCTCACATATTTTGTAGTATCATACACAAGAGCTTTATACTGGCTTTTATAAAACACACAGTTTTGTTTGAACTGTTACCATATTTTTACTTTGTAATCGTTATTTTAGCACCAAATTATGCAAGTTTACCAAGGCGTACGACGCTCGATAAAAAATCTTCTACTTTTCTTGTGTCAAGTAATTATACTCAGGTTTCAAGGCAATGTTGTTCATTCAAAATTAAACTTACAACGACTTTTTTAAATGTTGCCTCCCATGCAATATTTTACGACCTTTTCAAATGTACTTCCCTATTACATAACGACTTTTTCAAATGTCGTCTCTTAAGACTGCATTTAACTACATCCGATTACATTTGACTACATTTGACGACGCAGCATGCATTTCATGATTGTTGAAGAAACAAGTACCTGAGGTCTGCTTAAGTACCAAGCACCGAAGAGCTCTGTAGCTAACAATATAAGTTTAATCTATAGTGGACAATTAACATAGTCTTTAACAATGACTTAAAATTAATAGATAGACAGAACATTATTTATCGACGCTGGTCCTCATTTCCACAGAGGTTTGATCTAGAGTGGACAATTAACATAGGTATATAAAATATTTTGATTTTGTATTCGAAATACAGGGTTTTTTAAACGTAAAGGAATGTCAGAAAGAGTAATTAGGCACATGCACCACTGAGTTCTCTCAAACCTCTCAAAGTAAACAAGAAACAAATTTCTTAATATTTATTAGTATGTGCAAATAACAAAAGAAATATAGCCCATTGTTAAATATTAATATTTTTAGACATTTTAGATACTTATAGAAAGAAGAACTAAGCCAAAAGGAAATAAAATAGAATAAATGTTTACCATGTGTGCAAGTCAACTTTATTAGAAATCTCATTTTTATCATGTATCATACAAAGAGAAAAGTCCATTGAGGAAATATAACAAAAAATAAAAATCACTTGTTGGAATATAAATTCTCACTTTATAATGTGTTACTAAGATATTTAGCACCTTAAACACCTATACGGTTACTATCGATACTCAATTCAGTAAGTTTACAATTCTCACTTTTCAAAGCTTCACCAAGATATTTGGCACCTTCATCACCTATACTGTTACCATTTATACTCAATTCAGTAAGCTTACAATTCTCACTTTTCAAAGCTTCACTAAGATATTTAGCACCTTTAACACCTATACTGTTACTATCGATACTCAATTCAGTAAGTTTACAATTCTCACTTTTCAAAGCTTCACCAAGATATTTGGCACCTTCATCACCTATACTGTTACCATTTATACTCAATTCAGTAAGCTTACAATTCTCACTTTTCAAAGCTTCACTAAGATATTTAGCACCTTTAACACCTATACTGTTACTATCGATACTCAATTCAGTAAGTTTACAATTCTCACTTTTTGATGCTTCACTAAGATATTTAGCACCTTGATCACCTAAATTGTTACTATCGATATTTAATTGAGTAAGCTTACAATTCTCACTTTTCAATGCTTCACTAAGATATTTAGCACCTTCATCACCTATATTGTTAAAAACAATATTCAATTCAGTAAGCTTACAATTCTCACTTTTCGATGTTTCACTAAGATATTTAGCACCTTCATCACCTATATTGTTACTATTGATATTCAATTTAGTAAGTTTACAATTCTCACTTTTCAATGCTTCGCTAAGATATTCAGCACCTTGATCACCTATATTGTTTAACTCAACATTCAATTCAGTAAGTTTACAATTCTCACTTTTCAATGCTTCACTAACATATTTAGCACCTTGATCTCCTATATTGTTATAATCAAGAGACAATTCAGTAAGTTTACAACTCTCACTTTTCAAAGCTTCACTAAGATATTTAGCACCTAGAACACCTATAGTGCTACCAACAAATTTCAACTTAGTTAGCTTACAATTCTTACTTTTTAAAGCTTCGCTAAGATGCTTACAAAAAAGTTTACCAAAAGTACAAGAAATAAACTCTAAATTAATCAAACATTCCGCTCTCTCATTTAACAAATAGTTTTTCATTGGAAGAAAACTTTGAATATCGTGAAACGTGCATCGGCGAAAAAAAAGATTTCCCATGTATTCGCTTTCAGAAAGAAATTCAAATAATGAGTTTGAATCAACAGGCGTAAAAGAAACGTCCTCAATTTTCAATTTTTGAGAAAAATTCTTTAACTCTGTGCAAGCTGACCTCATTACATCTTTGTCCTGCAACTCGTATAAGCACTTTACTCCAAGAAAACCAAGGATTTTATCACCGTCCTCGGAAATTAAATTGGAAATCCAGTTTTTAAACCTATAAAATCAAAATACATAACTTATTTGTAAGGGTATATGTGATGTTGCATGACAGGAATTTGATTGGCTAGTACAATAATTCAAAACCCATTTTAAATGTCGACGCATGCTACATCTGTTGAATGCATTAAAGTCAGTAGAAATGATAAGATAAAATTCTCAATTTTCTTTTGTTCTAAATGCGTTTGGCTTTTGTAAAATTCAGGGTTTGAAACGGGCCTACAATGGTGACGTATAGCATTTTTAAGTTTGACATAGAACTATTCTGGGTCCGTGTAACAATAATCCTTTGGTAATCAAACTAAGTATTAAAGTAGCCAGCAAAGTTTCAAAAAACAAGTTTTGTTCAACATGGGACATATTATACATGCTTCTTCTTTTAAAATTTTATTTTCAGTCTCTTTGTTTAAAATCATCGACACCGATTACTCAAATTTTTCTCTTGAGTTGAAAGAAGGTTTTTGCATCAATAAAGCTATTTTTGACTTAAATGCTCAAATTTACCACTATAGCTATAACGCTCTCTTATTACTTTTATAGTCAATAACTTAGTAATTGTAATTAGATAATGTTCCCATGGCGACTTGTTTATATACTTCTAACTTGCGCACTGTTTGGTTAACTGACGAAAATCTGTAATTAAAATTTTGACAATAATTCTAGCATATGTTTAGTTCTCCTCAGTTGGTGTTAATTGTTGTTTCTATTACCTCCCAAATTGGATGTATGTGGGAATTTGGCTTCGAATTGGAAGAAATTCAGAAGAATGTGGAACAACTACGAGATACCTTCGCACTTGAGAAATGAGTCAAAAAATTAAGAACAGCAACGTTGCTCACTTGCCTTGGATCAGAAGCAGTTGAAACGTACGAAAGATGAGAGTGGGAAACACTCTACGCTTTGCTGGCGAGAGTAATGGCGGCCGTTAAATTTCCGGTATGCGCAAAGCAAATTGCGCGACACGCTTACATCAATAGTTACCGACGCGAGATGCCCTTCTATGTATTCTCGATTCTACGCTCTCGTTGAAAGTTTCCGATTTTTACACTGACCAATCATGTATGTTCTGGAAGCTGAGTAATGGAAAGCAGGGGCGAAATTAGAACGCTAAGAGACGGGTGTGTGAATAATCATATATTTAGCTCTGCCCTGCTGATTTTTTTAAATTATCGTCGCTAACAAAACAAATCCGTCAAGCAGTTATGAATATATGAATATACATCCCCCACTTAACGTTCTAGTTTCGCTCATGATGAAGAGAAAGCTTTTTCCTACAGAAAACCTGAAAGACTATATATGTGCAATAACTTTAGGAAAGATCAAGTAATGTGGAGAGTTTGCGAGAATGTCAGTTATGCTGGAAGGCCTAAAATCAATCACTTATTTGTCAAAGTATGTGATCTTTGGCTTTGCAAATTAAATTAGCCAATCAAAACATAAATTAACATTCAAACAAAATTGCAAATCATCTGGCTACGCGCGCATATTTAAATAACTTTAAAATTCTTTTGGCAATTTTCTATATACATATAGCTTTTGTACTCTTGGCAAACAGACGAGAACTCATAATTAACATTGGGGAAATAACTACAGCATATTGCAAAATAGATTTTAGCAATTGTTTTCATTTTAGTTCTTCTCGTGCAGCTAGTGTTGATTACTGTTTCTATGATGGTGTGATGAATTGTTGAATGTAGCTGGTATGAAAAAAATATCTCTTTTTTTTGTAAAAATTGCTTTGAAGATGTATTTTGTAAATACGATAGCAAGACTTCCGTGCATTTCAGACCTATTTAGACAAAATGAAAACTCCACACTTATATGATTAGGTCAAAATGTAAAAACTATTAATCAACTTTTTCACATTAACTGCCAAATAGAATAAATTAGCTTTTTCCTCTTGCTTTTATTTTAGTTCTTCCCAGCTTGTCGTGATCTTTGTTTAAAGAATGAAACGATAAATTGCTGCAGTATGTATCGTTCAGAAAAGTTATCGCTCCTTTGCAAAAATGCTTTGAGAACAAATTTCATATGTATATGTCACCAAAATATAATTGTACTTCCCCTGTTTTATATTACTATTATTGTCTGTAATTGTCTGGCCATTTGTTATCATCATGATAATGATCAACATTTTCTATCTGTAATGCCGTAGACAGTACTGCCAGCGACGTGCCCAGACAAAGTGATCTAATCTTTTCATCTCTGAGAAGTTATCTCATTCAACCATCTTTGAGAGGTTGACAGCATTGCCAAAACATCAAAGGTAACACATGGCGAGTCATGGCCGTTGTAGGTTACATACCTGGTCTCTCAGGAGCATTATGTGAGTTATGTACCGCTGGACTTGTTCCTTAAACTGCTGGAGAACAGTGCGGTTAGACCAGGTGCTGTCTTTTCTGGTAGGTTAGTTGGTCCCAGGGTCCATCTGCCATGACTCGCTATTGTGCTGCCTTCACCCGCCATCCATCTTGTTCCGTTTTGGTATTTTGCTGTCCCAAACTATCCTTGTCTGGTTCCGGGTGGAGCTCTGTTGATGGACTGCATAACATCTAGCAGTAACCGAATATTCCTGCATCTGAGGTCACCACCAGTCGTCTCGACACTGTCTTGCCACTGAATCCATGTGATTTCAGAGAAGAGTGAGGTTGACGTCTGCCAGCTTTTCCTCACTATAATAAATTCTTGCATACGTCTTGACAGCACCACTTAACCTGGAAGTTAAGATTTTTTCCTTAAGCCCTGTGGCGATGGGTGAGCGACGAAGCAGCAGGTTTGGATACACTGGGAGATGTAGTTGCAGACCTGCACACAGGTGGCACAGGTCTAATGGTCGCTTTCGTACTGACTGAAGCAGCAGTGAACTCGGCGTCTACCTGGGTGTCTGAGCAGCCCTCTTTAGGGATGCACTGCTCACCTCACATGAGGGACTAGAAAAGGTGTCCTAAAAAAAGCCTGCTTCAACCTTCATCCTGGCCAGCAAGCCGCGGTTGGCGGGAATTCCACACCAGCGGTCGAAATATAAGAAAGAAAAAATTTAAGGTGACACCGATCACCTTAGGCACATGGAATGTGCGTACATTACTTGACAACCCTTTATCAGACAGACCAGAGAGGAGAACTGCTTTAGTTGCCAGAGAACTTGCAAGATATAACATCGAAATTGCAGCACTGAGTGAGACTCGTTTCGCTAATGAGGGGCAGCTGACTGAAAATGGAGGTGGCTACACTTTCTTCTGGAGTGGCCGTTCTGCTGATGAGCGCCGAGAGTCTGGGGTAGGTTTTGCCATCAGGAACCATCTTGTGCAAAAGCTTGCCAATCTCCCTAAAGGTACAAACGATCGTCTCATGTCAATGCTGATTCATCTACATGATGGTAAACGGGCCACACTCATCAGTGCCTATGCACCTACAATGAAAAATCCTGAAGATGTGAAAGACAGACTCTACGAAGATCTGGATACTATGCTTTCATCCGTGCGCAGTACTGATAAGCTGATCCTACTTGGGGATTTTAACGCAAGGGTAGGCGGTGATTCTGCCTGGGATGGATTCATTGGAAAGAGTGGAGTAGGCAAGTGCAACAGCAATGGCCTGCGCCTGCTGGAGTTATGCTCGTCGTATGGTCTCCTTTTAACCAACACAATATTCCGGCTGTCCAACAGGAACAAAACATCATGGATGCACCCCCGGTCGAAGCACTGGCATCTCATTGACTACATCATTGTCAGGAAGAAAGACAGGCAGGATGTCAGAATTAACAAGGCCATGTGTGGTGCAGAGTGCTGGACCGACCACAGACTCATCATCTCTAAAATGAACATCTGCATTAAACCAAAGAGACGTCCACAGGGATGCATGACCAAAAAGAGGATAAATGTTGCCAAGCTGAAAACCATCAAACAAGTGCAGCTCTATCCACAGACCTAGAATCCCAAATTGCCAACTTCAATCCTTGAGGTAACGTCGAAGAAGACTGGCAATCCTTTAGCGACATAGTTCACTCAACTGCAGTGCAAGTGTTGGGCTACCTTCCCCGACATGAGCATGATTGGTTTGATGAGAATGATGAGGAGATTCAAGCCTTACATGATGAAAAGCACAGACTTCATCGTGCTTACCAAGATGATCCAACTTCAGTCTACAAGAAGAATGCCTTTGCCAGGGAGAACAGTTCAGTGTATGCTGCGGGTGATGAGAGATTCCTGGCTCAGTGCTAAAGCTGATGAAATCCAAGCCTACACCGACAGAAATGATACAAAGCGGTTCTATGAAGCTCTCAACACCATATATGGACCTCGATCGTCAGGAAATTCCCCTCTCTTGAGCTCAGATGGGACTTCACTAATTACCGAGAAGGAAAAGATCTTGCAAATGTGGGCTGAACATTTTGAAGCTGTCTTTTTCCATCAATGATAAGGCAATAGACAGGTTGCCACAGGTCAAAATCAACACGACCATGGATGTTCCACCTGTTGAATCAGAAGTCAGGGAGGCAATAAACAAGCTCTCTAGTGGTAAAGCCCCTGGTGCAGATGCTATTCCACCCGAGATATATAAAGTTGGTGGTCCCATATTTTTCAAGAAGCTCACTGAACTCTTCCAATCCTTCTGGGCAGAAGGATCCATCCCAAGAAATTGAAAGATGCCTCGATTATTCACCTATACAAGACGAAGGGTAATCGTCAGTCTTGTGATAATCATCGTGGCATCTCACTCCTATCAATAGCCTAGAAAATTCTTGCCCGAGGGTTACTAAACCGGCTAATAGACAACCTTGAAGAAGGACTGCTACCAGAATCACAGTGTGGTTTTCGTAAGGGCCGTGGAACTGTTGATATGATTTTCGCAGCACGACAACTCCAGAAAAAGTGTCAAGAGCAGAACCAAGATCTGTACACCACCTTTGTTGATTTGACAAAAGCTTTTGACACAGTCTCCCGTCAGGGCATCTGGAGAATTATGTCCAAGTTTGGCTGTCCAGAGAAATTCATCTTGATGGTTCGTCAATTTCACGATGGCATGTTGGCCAGAGTACTAGCTGATGGTGAATAATCCGAACCCTTCCCAGTCACAAATGGTGTCAAACAGGGCTGCGTACTGGCTCCAACATTGTTCAGCATGGTTTTCACTGCCATGTTAACTGATGATTATCACCATGGTGTAGATGGTATCAGCATCAAATATAGAATGGATGGGAGCGTATTCAACCTACGTAGACTGCAAGCTATCACCAAGGTTAAGGAGACCATTATTCGTGACTTCCTGTTTGCTGATGACTGCGCCCTCAACGCGTCTTCAGAATCGGAGTTGCAGATCAGCATGAATAAATTTTCCGCAGCCTGTGACAACTTTGGTCTAACCATCAGTACCAAGAAGACAGAGGTCATTCATCAGCCTTCTTTTCATACACACTACACTGAGCCTACCATACTAGTGAATGGACAACGTCAGACAGTTGACAAATTCACATATTTAGGGAGCACTCTTTCCAGAGCCGTGACTATTGATGCAGAGGTGAACAACCGGATCGCCAAAGCCAGCTCCGCATTTGGCAGGTTGCACACAAACGTTTGGGAGCGTAGAGGGATCACCACTGCAACGAAACTGAAGGTCTACTCTGCCATAGTATTACCAACTCTCCTTTTTGCATGTGAATCCTGGACTGTTTACCAGAGGCATGCGAGACAGCTGAATCACTTCCACACAACCTGTCTCCGTCGGATATTGAGAATCAAGTGGCAAGACAAGGTGACAGACACAGATGTCCTCTCTCGATCCAACCAGCCACCCATCTACACCTTGCTGATGAGAGCACAGATCCGATGGGCAGGCCACATTGCTCGCATGCCAGATGAGCGGATACCTAAGCAACTGCTTTATGGTGAGCTCTCCAACGGCAAAAGATCAGTCAGGGGCCAAAAGAAGCGGTTCAAGGAAACATTAAAGACCTCACTGAAGTCCTTTAACATCAACACCGCAACATGGGACAAACTTGCAGGGAACCGATCAACCTGGCGCGATCTCATCTTCAAGGGCTGTCAAGCATCAGAAGAAAGGCGAACTGTGGACGCCAAACAGAAACGTGAGCTGCGGAAATCAAGAGCAGCCAGTGCTTCAACATCAGATGCATCTCTGGTTTGCCCTTCGTGTTCAAGAACATTCCGTGCCAAGATTGGGCTCATTAGCCACCTCAGAACTCACCGTACCCAATCTTCTAGTACTTGAGTTAACTTGTCAAGGTCATTATCGCTTGCGATGGACGAACAACAACAACAACATTACTATTATTGCCATTTTTATTGTTGTTATGAATTTTAAATAGTGGTAATTATAAAAATGCTCAACAAATTTAAAAAAACAATTTTAAACTTTATATCGCGAATGCTCCCCACGCTATAAACTAAGTAAAAGGCCTTAGCCTTTACGCTTTCTTTAGATTGCGGCGTCAATGATAACAGCGTTAGATTCAAAGAGAAAATTTTGTAAAAAAGGCATAAACTTTGTTTTGAAACAGACAGACGTTTATGCAACTCAGCGACAATTTCAAAACTGAAACAACACTCTGCAGAAGAGCATGAAGTTATGCCTTGTATAAATAATTGCCAGCTTTATATAAAACTGCTGCGATTTCTTATAACAATCCAGCAACAACTCTGTGCATATGTAGTAGACGAAGTTAGTGTTCATGCGGTTCCTGTCCAGTAGGACTAAATACTGACTAAACGAAACTCATCGAAGACAATAACCTAAACTTCACCAGAAACAAAAATAAAGATCTTACCGTTGTTCAACCTCTTCTACGGTTTTAGTATCTCTGATAATGCCAGATCCATTCATGTCTCCAACTAAACCAGCAACAAACTGTATCACCAAATGCCATTTAGGGTCACGTTTATTCTCGTCCAAAAACAGTGGAATATTCCCCCAATCCTCTACAATACATTGCGCAGCCAGAAACTCTTGAATAGTTAAATGTAGGAAACAGTACTGTAAACGTTTTGCATCTGGTATACGGTAAAATACACCACAATTTTCTAACTCATAAAAAGCACTATTAATACTTTTTTCAAAAAACAAATTTCCTTCTTTAATTCCACTAACTGCAATATCTGTTACTTTGTCAATATCTTCTTTAAGCTTGAGCGGCAAAGGAAGTATGAGATAATCATTTGTTCTTGGTATTTCACCCGATGTGCAAAGTGGATGATTCTTCCACAACAAGTTTTTGATTACTCTATTGTATAACTCAGTGTTGGTCTTTGGAATATCCTCAGCCTTACATGTCAAGTATTCTTTTAGGGTCAGACAAACAATGTAACTATTCAAAGGAATATAACACAAACTTTTAAGTTCAAGAGAAGTATCAACGTGCTCATAAATGTTTTTGGCTGTATTCTTGTCTTTACTACAAAACTTGTCGACGTATTCTTTAATCTGATCTTCAAAAAAGCCCAAGATTTCCACAGTCCTGTCAAACTTTAAGCATCCATATGCATCTTCAGCTGTGGGTCGTGATGTTACTAGAATAATGGCATCAGAGAGCGTTTCACCTTCAACTAACTTTTTTATTAGTTTAAATACAGGGTTCTTCATTTCATGGAACTCTGAATAATTTAAAAATAATTCATCCAATCCGTCGATTATAATGACAGTTTGTTTTGGATAAGTGATCATGAATTCGTAAACTTGAGAATAATGTTCATCTTTTAGTCCATCACTCCGATATAACATTTCTCTGAGAGTATTGTCACAAGTTTCAAGATCACGACATTTCACTAAAATAACAAGTTTATCTTGCCAAAATTCATCTCGATTACTTTTCCATTCGTATATAAGTTTTTTAGTCAGCATAGTTTTACCAATTCCCGGCCTTCCAATGACTAAAATAGACCTTGGATACGACGTGCTCTTTTCACCTAGGATTGGCTTAAAAATCTCAGTTACTCTTGTTAGTTTTTTTGCATCATTTCTCATTTCAAGGTAAGAATGAAAGATTTCATGCCGATTAAAGGTTTCTGGGTAAGCATTCTTTAATTGTCTCTCTGCTTGTAGTATGACGTCGACATAAATATTATCAAAATTTCGCCACTCTTTGATCTCATCACCAAAGTTGTCGTGCATTAAAAACACAGTGTTGGAATAAAGATCGTTTTTATTTTCCTCCAACCATTTTGCAGTTTTGTTCTTATTTTCTTCAAAAAAATTTTTAGGTTTTTGAAGCAGTACAAATTTCAAGTAAGCTGTACAAAATTTATCCTCTTTTTTGAAAGAGTTATCTGTCCAAGTCTTATACATCAAGTAACACAGCTCTAAGATTGTTAGTGTTATTACAATGAAATTGGCAGATAAAACTACAATAATTAAGATTTCACTTTTATCACCGTTGAGATTTACACAATCAATGGTAGAAATGGTGTGATTTAACAAGGAAATTTCTTTCATAATTGGATGTCTTTCACAGGTGTAATTGATGGGAAACTTGGCAGAGAAAAATAACCCAACAAAGACAGACAATATGATAAAGCGAGCCACCAAATGAACGATGTAAATGTAAAATGAAGAAAAATTAAATGCAACGCTGTCAGATTGATGAGTTCCTTCGCTATATTCCACATGTAGAGGTTCACTTTGTTCGTCACTGTTTTCTATTCGACTGTCATTACCATTGTGTTCAACTCGATGCTTTACATAATATCCATAGACGATACTCCAAAATAACACAATGACAAAATTCAAACACACCACAAGAAAAATATCATACTTGAAAGTTAGTCCATCTTTGTATTGTCTGAAACATTTTGATTCAATGTTTTTTAAGAGAGAGCTTTCGCTGGCCTTCGATAAAATCTCATTATAACAATCAAATGAAGTATCACCATATAAATTTAATGAAATACCAGAAACGATAAAGCCAAATATACCAAAGACAATAAGTATTATTCTTCCAAACCAGTTAAAACTGCTCCATGGTATGTATTCAAGACACTTTTCCATTTGTATGCCTAAAAATAAGTATTAAATCGTCACGTTACTTTGAACTCAAAACAAGACGCTAGCATTGGCGTTCAGTATCGTAGCCAGCTTGCAGATTTACTTTCGCTATGTAAATTCTGAAAGATTACCATTCTTTATTTCTTTAGACATCTACTGTTCTCACAGTCAGTGAAAAGTAAAATCTTTGCATAGCGGAAGTAAAAAGTCGGGCTGGTTACGCTATTGCTGGCGTTACCCACAGTTCTAGGTACAAAGTCGCATAATCTATAATAATCTACAATAAGAATAATCTATAATAATCTACTTCGTATAAATGACTATCTTGCATTAAGATATATAGGAATTTTAGTAGACACATCTGATAAACATAGCAACAAGTGTTTTTTTGTAATTAAATAAAGTGTACAATTATGGTCTTTATCTGTCGTGTATATTCTGCTAGAGCGCTGTAGGGGGAAGGATATTCATGTACGTGTGCCTACAATAATAAATTCTTTTACAAAGGTTGCTAGGACTCAAGCACCATAATCAATCCTACGTAATTGTGCCTCAGTCTACAGGTATTGGGTTAAATATGAAACAATATGCTATTTGTTTATGTAAAGCGTGGTTTCGAGTGCAATTTGGCATAAACATGCACGAATGAGTTTTTCAATGACTGACATGCTCTTAAACAATCAGAATTGAGAAATTTTTCATGTATATTATTACTGGAGGTAAAAGGATTTTGCTTTTACTTTACACCTAAGTTATGATGCATTTACATTTGAAACAAATGAATAAACGAGAATCGGTCACAAAAGCTCCACACGATGCACTTTCAAGTAAATTAATTTTAAGCATTTGACTTTGGTTTAGCTGAGCTTAGCTCCAATTAACATCTCTCAAAAGAATAAAGCTCATTCAGTAAATGGTTTTCTGTAATATTGTTGACCAGATTTAAATCACATCAATTATGTTAATTATATCAAAAGGGTGGAAAAAAATGGACGGTATTTAGTTCAACTCGGCTATTTAATCAACAGATCGTGTATTAAGTTTTCAAAACAGCTCACTTAACGCAACACAGCAACAAATGAAAAACTAATTGTACAAACGGAGCCTTGAATGTTCCTTGAATGTTCCTTGAATGTACTAATTAAGCCGGTTTTCCACTTGCAATTTTTTGCGCCACAGCGATAATTTTTGAGTTAAAAAATTTCGTGCGACTGGGTATATTAGTTTTTTACGTGTAAAAATTAACTCACAAAATGCTAAAATCAATGAAAGTGGCTGAATCAAACAGTAACAACATTACTACTTCGAAATAACGTGTTATCATTTTCATTGCTGCAAGGACGACCAGAACGACAAAGCAAAAACAACAATAGTTTTTTGTACGTCGTTTGTAAGTTGTAACGGTAATGAAAAGGAGAATTTTATCTGCTCGTGAGAGAGCTTAGTCTTCACGGCATATTAAATGCTTCCATGAGTATCATTTGTTTCGTATTTTGTTCAAGAAATTGCTTTCTCAAACTTTGTTTTCGGTAAAGTATATTTGTAAGATGATATGGAAATTTCATCATTTCCCAAGCAAAAAACTTCTTAACGTCCACCATTTTAAAAACTGAGTACGGCAGACAAACGTGCATGCAAAAATCAAAAACCACTAAAAAATATGATTGGCTAGCGAATTATTTTGTCTGCAAAAAATTAAAAATCATAAAAACTCAAATTTTCGTCGAGGCGTGATGACGTCTTTGCCGTTTACGTTACGGTTAGCAGTTCAGGTTTTAAGGGCAGGAGGAGCTTTTTGTTGTAGGTAAAGTTTCGCATGCTTTTTTTTGTATTTCTATTACAACAAAGTGACTTTTGTGAAGCATAGTAATTATTTTAAGTTAGTATAAATCATGAATATGCCTATCAAGCTATCAACAGAGTTTTAATAAAACAGGAAATACAGCTCCTGACAGTGCAAATTGTAAAATACAAATGGAAAATTACGTATTAAATTCGATTTTTTCGAAAAAACAAATCTCAATGGCACATGGATAATTTAGGATTGCGGTTTGCCGTAAACGCCAAACCAAACTTTCTATTTGCGCAATACAAACAACAATAAGAAAAATACAAATATCATTTGAACATAATGCACAATTTGACACAAGTTACAAGAAATCAAATATTGAGCATAATCGAGAGAAGTGCAAGTCTTAAGGCATAAAATAATGAGACGCTAAACTATACAAGATGATGGAGAAGGTTTAGTCAGAGATACAGAGATGAAACTCCGAATGAGAATTTTATCTCCGTTAAAATCAGATAGTTTGTTCAATTAGAACTCAGGGAGTTGTTCTATTTTGCATATGTTATATCTTTTGTTGTAATAAATATCCACACGAATTTTTAAAAAATTTACCGAAGGAAAAACGAAAAAGTCTTCAATAAAGTCAGCGCGGACAGGCGTTTATGTAAAAACAATCCACTCGACATGAGCACAATATGCGCATTCAAATTGTCAATAGTTCCCTACTTCCTAACTAAATGTAGCCTCAAAACATTTCGCAGCAAATTTTGTGAACAAAACCAATGTAAACAAAAGATAATTACAACATTACTAAAATTAGTAAAATTCTTGCAATAAGCGATACTTATCTATAGCAAATACAAACTGATTTACATAGTACTTTTAACTTGCTTTGTTTAAAATTGTACAAACCCTAAGAAATTGAATATGCGCAGAACTGTCCAAAAACCACTTTTAAACACATAATTTAATAAAGCAAACACGCTAAATAAGCAAATGCAAACAAAAAAAAGCATTTAGGCAGAGTTCGTCATAAGAACAAACCGAAACAAAACACATTTGCAACATTATTAAAATATGCAAATTTCCACATTCAGAAACCATACATTTAACGAGCAGTACAAGTTTACAGCAATAATAAAAAGAATTGGTGACAGTATTTCCATACTTTTAAAACAACTCAAATATGTATCCTATTTAGACTATAATCTCATGATTTCTAACAAACAATTCAACATCCTTAACATACCAATTATCATCACAAACATACCTTGTTTTGTTTTTGCTTTGCAAATCGTTGTTGCTATTTGTATTTTTGACTTTTTTCAATTAATATTCAACAATACGGTCATGAGTTTCTACAGGTAATCTAAAATAAATATGATTTTATAGTATCAGGCAAGATCAAAATTTCTTCAAAGTTTATTAAATGGCTTAATATATGGCGAGCAATTACATTATGATGACAATTATACATCGCAAACACTCATAACGATTTTGTGAATTTTGTTTGACAAACCTTTTACTGGTTCACAGTCGAATTTTTCGTATTTTCCGATATAACGCAAGGGCAATTTATAAGCGTCACACATATTCATTACATTGATATGTGGTCGTATTTTGTGCCGTGGAATTTAAGTCATTTTAAGAATAGATTGTAATGCAAAGCAAAGATACGGTTTATGATTTTTATTGTTTTTTATAATTTATATGTTTGATTTTAATTTAGAGCATGATGATTGATAGGTAAAAAAATGTAAAATCTTATGCATTATCATAAAGTATATGCTTACTATAGGATTATCTTTACATTCTCTGCAGTGTGTATATACATACTCATATACGATTGCAAAACAAGAGGGTTTGATTCAACATTTGCTTATCATAACGAGACAAACACTATTTTAAATATGATCTTTTCATTCTTTGTTGAGGACTTTGAGTTTGAGCATATTATTTTTCATTCTCTGTGACATATATTTTGAATGCACTTAAAACTGATTATAACCACTATATAAATACTTTAGAATCGAAAAGAGAAGTTATATTATTTTTATGCAGTCGATTGCAAAGCCAGAGTATCTTGATTTTATATAAGCATATCAGCGTGAGGCAAGTAATATTTGCTAAAAGCTTGAATAAAAAGAAATGAATAAAAGTCTTTTTATTTAGTGTTAGTGACAAGATGACAATTAAGAGTGAAGCACATCTATTTTTCCATCATTTTGATTATACTAACGACAAATCCAAATCATTATACAGGGTGTGTTAGAAAAAACGGAATCCGTTTAAATAATTATATACGCATTAAATGAAATCTACATGATATAACTTAGTCTGCAATGGAGATTTGTTCTGCCTGTTTTATTTAGTTACACGTTTTTCGATGTTTAAAGCAACTAATGAAAAGTATGATTACGTTTTCGCGGCATTATATCCTAATAAATCTCGCTTTTTTATGTTACAAAAATGTAATATTGCACGCGCAACTTGTAAGGGTCACATATATTCTTTGTGTCGATACGTGGCAAATTATTTTGTTCCACGGAATTTAAATCATCTTAAGGATATATTTACTAATTGTTATGAAAACAGAGAAACGCTTATAATTTTGGTTTTTGCTTAGGTATTTATTGTATTATTACATTATGACATAATACGTGCAGGAAGCTTACTATATAGGACTCTTAGCTTTTTATGAGAATAATTAAATGTATGATATTTTCTCTCGGGTATGTGTATAGTCATACAGGCGTAGGAAATACGATAATTATGGGGGAGGCATATATTCATATATGCATGTTATAATCTTTAGAAAACAATAAATTTAAAATACGGCGTAATTTGCTTGTATTAATATTCTCCACAATTATCTATCTTTCTACCCCATGCATCATGGGGTGAAGTTTTTGCATTGATTGAAGATTTCTTAAATAAACATTACGAAGCGTTTTCCTTCCACTTAACCTCACGGCTGACTTATGTGTTACGTTTGTACAGGCAACTCAATCTTACGAAACATGCAATTAAAAACAAAATCCAATTGTTTCACACAAGAGAAATAAAGTTTTGAAAAAGGCATCACCCCTCGTCAAGTGGCATGCGACAGAATTTCACGAAGCTCGCACGTGATCTACATGTTATTTTTAGAGCTGTGTTTTGAATTAAGATTCTAAATTTTGTTATGGGAGGTTTTTCCCTTACGGATGAAGCTAATCTTTTCATTTTTTCGATTGGTACTAAAATACAATGTATTTCGTTACTTACTGCAATCAAGATACTTATGAAGTCAATGAAGTGGAACTTATCGAGCGGAAAAATAACGACATTTTGCAATGGCGCCGATATTAACGAAATGTCCGTGTACGAAATACCTAAGATAAAAGACACTGCATTGCATCCAAACTTGACAAAACTTGGGTTAAAATCTTATTTTTGTCATTAGTAATCAAGAAAATGTGCATGATTTGCCGAATACTTTCAAGATTCGGCGATAAAAAACACGCAAGACGGCAAAATATGGCCGAAAGCTGGTTAAGGAGTTAGGTATGCGAAATACATTCTATTGTATGCCAGCAAAAACAATGTCAAATGCTTGAAATAACGAATAATTAAAGTGAGTTGAGTGTGGTTTTTCATCATATATGCTTTTTTCTTGGAAAAAATGAAAATTCAATCTCTGCCAACAATATTTGTTAATTTTGCAAAATTGGCATCTGACCATAGCTGGTGTATGGTAATTTTCTCAGTAAATATTAAATTTATGTAAATTATTCCTCCCATGACCACCCCTAAAAGTTAACCTTCTAAAGTCCTTAAACATTACAGAATTGTTATTGCTATTTTTTCTGGAAGTTAGAGCTATGTCGACACTGCGGTTTCAGTGGGGTCTCAATTTCAGGACTTTTGTCCCGGAATGAGCAAATGGCACATATACCATGTTGTTCTTCATGGTCATTTTACCTAAAAACAGTTTATATAACTTCTGGTAAATGAAATGCATACAAACTCTTATACAGGTCCTAAACTATAAGTTGACTTTGGTTGTTTGGTAGTTTTAAATCACAATCACAGCGAAGTGTCACATATTGATTATTCAAAAAAATCATAAATAAAAAGCAAGAAAATGATGACTGAAGAAGTTTGAGCCAAAGGTCATGGAGCAGCAGAATCTAGTGTGGTTAGTGAATTCTGCATTTGAGGTGTCTATCGGAAATATGCAATAATTTTTAAGTTTTCGGTGTGAATTTTGGCTTTTTTGGCGAATTCATTACTATTACATATTTATATGACACCCATAGGCCTTGGAAGAAATAAACATACTTGCAACATTATAAAATTAGCAAAATTCTATATTAATAATCAGAAACTGTGAATATAATGAGCAATACTAAATTATAGCAAAGATAAACCAGTATCAACAGTTCTACTTCTAAAACAATTTAAATGTTTAAAATACTCAATGATGTCATGACATCAGTTATTTTCAACATTTTTAACTTGAATTTGCTCCTCAGGTATAAATTTATAAATTTTATTTGATGATAACACAAATACAATGACGTAAAACATTTTTCAACACGATACAATCTGGATAAAACGATTATTAATCTCCAACATGCAATTTATAAAAACTGATATAAAATTTGCAATCGGTATGGTAGGCAAATGAACAAAATAATTGCATACAAAACCGTTGCATAATAGTACTTAGTAGCTAATAATGATCATATTCATACATCGTACGTAAGCATCTAAAACTCGCCTAAAAGAAAAAAGACAAAAAAGCTACAAACAACACCAAAACTAAAACACTACACTCTAATATTATTAACACCAACCATATTAACAACACACCAAAACCCATGGCAACGCATTTCACTCCATCCAATCACATTAATCCACCCACTCATCCAATTAGACGCTCTAAACGTCTCCAAGCTAAAAGCACGTGTAAATAAATATCCTCATTCTGATGAAGGCTCGAAGCAACGAGTCGAAAGCTCAATAAAAATCATTTAAAAAATCCGGAGAAACGTTTATCTTTTATATATATATATATATATATATATATATATATATATATATATATATATAAAATGAACTAAAATAAAATGGACAATTGTTTGCTGTTGCTACTCAGAGTTTCACGCCATAGGGCGATCTTCAGGCAACTGACAGATAATATTTTATTTGCTGGCTATATACATCGTCTAAAAGGTGTTAAGTTACATGACGGTTACATATATTATATATAGAATCCCTATCATTATCATATATATATATATATATACTAAAATGGGTGTATGTGGTTTGTTAATTTTAGGGGGGAAGGGCTCATACTTAATATGCATGTTGTAATGAATACAAAGCAATGGATTTTAAAACAGCTTAAATTGGTTAATGATGAAAATTTGAACTCTAGCCTACGCAATTATCAATATTCCGTACGCGCCCATACATTTATAAATTCAGATCAAATCTGTCGCAAAGCAAGAATGATTTGATTCCACATTAGCCAATTAATGTGAGACAAGCATAGTTTAATTCAAACTTCAATGAAAAAAATAATCAAATATCCTTTTATTCAGTTATTCTGTGTTAATAATGTGATGACACAAATTTAAGCGATCATTCACATCGATTTGAATAGCTGTTAGAAAAATTGCTGTGTTAATTTGTGACTTAAAATTTTACCTGTTTTACCTGTATCTAGGGAATTCATTGATATCAACTGTCATAATAATAGCAGGGCTTAAAAACATAGACAAGACATATAAAAACATAATAGTACTTAGTAGCAAATAATTATCATATTATATCGTACAAAAGCACCTTAAACACGCGTAATGATTCTGTGTATTTTGTCTTACAAACCTTTAACTGATTGATGGTTAAAACTTTCAGGTTTTCAAGTTTATACTGTTGAGCGTCATATGTATCCTTTGAGTCGATACGTGGCAAATTATTTTGTGCCACGGAATTCGAATTATCTTAAGAATAGATTGTTATGTAAAGCATAGGTTTTGCTTATGATTCTTACTGTTTTCCATATGTTTGATTTTAAATTTGGAGCAAATTGATTGATTTGTGCAAAAAATGTTAGTTTTAATGCTTTATTCCCGTAATAGGACTTTATGTTTCAGCAGTGCGTTTATACTCATTAACTCATATACTTTTATGAAATCAACAAAAACATTTGGCAGATTTTGTCACGAAAAACAATGGAAGCGAGAGGTATTTGCTATGTCGCAAAAATCTTCAAATTCATAGACCATATGTATAACAAGCGATACAAGTTTATATCACTAATGAACGGATTTGTTTATTTTACTTGTCGACATTTCTATACTTATAAAATGACTCAAATATTTGAACAGTTCAACATTAGCTGTAGAATTATTCTTTCAAAATAAATTCGCTTCGTGAGGCATATATATCATTGAATCATAACACAAAGTTAGTGAAATAACACATATTGCACAATTATACAATACTTCTTCAGGTAATCTATATTAAATATACTTTCTTGTATTATAGCTAAATTATAATTATTTCAAAATGTATAAAAAGCTTAATAGATCGCAAACAATTAACATTTATTGACTGATTTATACATCGTAAACACACATGATGATTTAGTTTATTTTGTCTCATAAACCTTTTACTGGTTGATGGTTTAAGTTTTCAGGTTTTCGCAATTGACGTTCTTGGCAAATTAAGCACTGTATGTATATCTTTTGAGTCGATACGTGGCATATTATTTTGTGTCACTGAATTTAAATAATCTTAAGAATAGATTGTTATGTAAAGCAAAGATAAGGCATATGATTTTCATTGTTTTGGTTTATGTAATAGATGACCATAACTTTGAGCAATATTATCAATAGCAAAAAATGTTTATAATAACGCGTTATCATAGATTACGTAGGCCCCGTTTACACTATACCGGATTACTATCGTAGCAAGTTGAATTTCTTTTGTACTAAAAGGCAGTGAATTTGTTCAACGACAGAAACACAATCAAATGAACTGAATTTATTAACTTAATGAGCCTTTACTCCGTACAGTTACCCCTTTAAAGCAAATGAAGATGTCGTGATGTTCGAATCCGGTATAGTGTGAACACAGCCTTATAGTACAGCTTACTTCAAACATTTGACGTTATCTGCAGTGCATATATATATATATATATATATATATAAACTATGCAAGATGATGGAGAATGATTAGTAAGAGATACGAAGATGAAACTCCGAATAATAGTTTTATCTCCGTAAAAATCAGATAGTTTGTTTAATTAGAACTTAGGGAGTTGCTCTATTTTGCGTATGTTATATTTTTTGTTGGAATAAACATCCACACGAATTTTTAAAAAATTTACCGAAGGAAAAAAGTTGGAGTTATTGGTGAATGAATTGGTCGTACAAATTTGGTAATTTAGCAACCGTATTGCAGAAAGAAATAAAGTACGAAAACTCAGGTTAAGGATTGACGGTTGTCCGTAATCTTAACTCTATCACTTCAAATATTCCGAATCGTGAAGTACCAACGTTTGGAAATCCGTCTTGTAAAAATTGTGCACAACCACTGTAAATATCTTATCGAAATGTTAAAAACAATTGTCAAAATACAGTCCCCTCATTCGAGTGAAGTTTCAGAACAGTGAACTAATGCAAATTTTCCTATAAATCTCATCAATATTTCTCTCGGAAAACAAAACTCACTATTTTCCTCGGGAGCATACATTAAATTAAAGTGCCCCTTCTGAAGTATTGCCCTTGGCGAAGAAAGCGATGAATCGGAATCAAAATATAATGTTCAGTCATATAATTCTGACAAAAACTTTATACCGGTATACTGTATAGAAAACTCGGAAGGCAATGAAACTTGAGCAATAATGATTGGGATTTTGACTCCAGTATATGGATGGTCAGAAAGACACTAATTCCAATCTCATCTTTTTGAAGCCCTGGAAAATTAGCGTTCTTTTGCTTCTTAAAACTACTGAACTGACGATCCAAATCCTCTGGTTTTAAGTGAGCTGAACAAAGTGTTGAAGCACTGAAAGGCTCAAATGCGCGCTTTTCTTTAAAACCAAGATATTTCTTCTTCGCTTAGCCTTGGACCTTTTATAATTATAAGGCATAGTGTGAAGACCCATACGAGAGCTATGTCTTGATTTATTCATAAAAATGGCTGCAATGCAACTATTTACCATTTTCAGAAAAAGGCAAGGCTTTTAGACGCTTATAGACTTTAGCTATGCTTCAGCAGTAGTGACTTGATAGCTATTGAATACAGTCAATACACGACTCTTGTATCACGAGTACCTTGGTTGACGTCGGAAATTTAGCTAGTTTCAGCCTCCTCATTATCACGGTTCACATGGTTCACAAAATATACCCTTTTAGAGAAATTAATGACAAAAATCAAACGATTTGACCAAATTCAAATCTTTTTTCTCAAAGAAGCCTAAAATCATAGACAGATTTGATATTGCAAAAAAATGTTTGGAGGAAGAGGCACTTTAGGTGTACATTGCGCTCGCCCATTTTTGTGATGACTGAATGCTGTTGAAATTACAAACAGCGTTGAAAACTGATCTCTATCTGCGTCTACATTACTCTCACATGCGCCGTGATTTTTCTATCTAATAACCCTTTGAAGTACAATAAAACTTCGCTTTAACGATAAATATGATGCAATTTTTATATTATTAAAAAAGGAAATTGAATGTGTACAAATGCAGCAATGAAAAACGAGTATTTGCAGTAATGAAATCAGTGGAAGTATTTAGGCATTGATAATATTCAGTGTGGAAGTATTTAGGCATTGATAATATTCATACCAAAGCAGTAGTCTCTGATGACGGCTTTGGTATTTAGGCATTATCTCATCAAAGACAACTTTATATCACAATTATGGCTAAAATTATCTTTTGCTATTTTCTTTAAACATTACGTTTGTCTGAATCTTTTCGTGTTGCATGATCTTTAGTATGGCTGTTAGATTCTATGTTTATAATGACACACATATTATATCCAGACAATAAAGAACAATTTAACGAACCTTTGCTTATTTCTTTTCTTTTTTTAAGCGATGGATATCCACGGCATCAAAACATTTACCAATCACTGGCTTCTTTTCTTCTTTACTTTGTAACAGAAAGGAAAAGCACTCCGATGAAGAAAACGTGAAGCGTCAAAGCCAAAGAAATAGGTCTCGCCCTTTCTTTTGTCTATGAAACAAAATACGTGAAACATGATCTCTGAAACATGATAGTGGCTTTGTTATTTTGGCCATCAAAACTAATATTGTTGAAAATGGTGCATTTTCTCACCATATATTCATAATAAAAAGCTTTGTTGGTTAATTCACAGTAGAAGATTCCATTCGAGCATTTTAAAAACATTAATTTGATCAAGACGTTTATCAGTTCGTGAAAAGCAGTATTCAGTATAAAATAATTAAATTTATTTTTGAGCGGAAGTTGTATGGTTTAATAATGAACGACTTGTTGTGATCTGTATATTATTCATCACTTATGACATCATATGTCAGAATTTCAGGTTTAAATGCAAGTAATGGATAAATGCTCCTTTATTGTAAGTTGCTTTAAGAAACTACATTACAGCAATGTGAAAAACAATAAATTGATAAAGACGTTCAAAATTTCATGAAAACCATGCAGTATTCAGTACAAGATTTTATAAACCTATATTCGTACGGAAGTTGTATGGTTTCAGCACTAAATAAGATTTCCTGTTCTGTGGTTTCAACTTTATAATGTGATCTGCATATTATTATAGTCATCACTCATAACATCATAAATCAGTAATGTTTGGAAGCCAACCAAAAAAGAATAATTGCTCCCATTGAGAATGCGTTAGTCAAATGGTAAACTTCATACTCTCATAGCTAATTTTGCTTTAAATTTTTTTGGCAGCTTAAATGAACAAATAAAAATACCAATTCATAAGTGCCCAACGATTATGAATTAAATACGAAAGTATAACCTACGGTATTACTACACAAATGACAATTCATGACCGACAATGTAGCACGTATACATCTCTTTGCAGAACATCCTTAAGATCTAAATCAGTATAAAATATACGTACTGTACATAAAACAGCATGTTCACGATGTGTCATTGAAACAGTCGTCACTTAGCTATATATTTCAATGTAGAATTCTAAAATTAAACGAGACTTTTCTGTAAGTTGAATTTTGATTGGGATCCTACAAGTCATTAGTCGGGAGCATTGAACTAAAATACATGGAACGCTACCTAAAGCAAATAATTGAAGACAAATCTTACACCCAGACACGCGTGTGTAGTGTTTCAAGATTCTGAAAATTGATTCACTACACAGGCGTATCTGAGTGTAATCTAGCGTGTCTTGGTGTAAAATTTGGCTTCAAGAATTTATTAAACATTTCTATTACAGGTAGCGTTCCCTGTATTTTATTAGTTCAATGGTTGAGAACGAAGGAATCACATGAGAAGCGCGCACGTACTTAACTGATCAGTTTTTCACGTGAACAGTTTTAAGTAAAGAAGAACGAAGAGTGTAAAAAAGGGTGTGAATAATATATATGGGCATGTGACTCCTTCGTTCCCGACTGATGACTAGTAGAATTCCAATCAAAAACTCCAACTTACAGGTAAGTCTGGTTTAATTTTAGAATTCTACTAGATCATCAGTCAAGTCACTACGGAGTCAAAAGACATTTCAAAGTCCTGCAGCTGTTTACTATGTGCGTATAAATCGAATTGAACAATAAAAATATAAATCTTTTTATGCAAAATTTAACAGTCTATATCATTTACCAATGCTATTCAGGACAACTGAACTGAAATCACCACCAACTTGTGTTTCTCATAAAACTTCGCGAATGTACCACACTTGGACCATCCTGCTGATTGCATGATGTTAGATAAATTTAAGCCAGCTGCACAATAAGTTGAAACAGAACAAGTGCTGTGGCAAGAAAATTCTTCTGTGTCAATTCTTTAGTTATAGAGTAAATATTAGATAGTTAGAGAGTAGCTTTTACCCCACAAGCAACAGTATCTTTGGTCACTACCCTATATGGTTTGTTAAAACTTATAAGCCGTTGGGTTTTTTCTTTCCACAAAATAGTTGTGCACTTAACTTATTCTTGAAGATAACTTATGACGCAAAGTCTCTTATCATCCGGGTAAGGTCGTAGGTGCAGAGGGGCTTGGTGTTTCCTTGCCTTAGTTTGCTTAAGTACATGATTGATGGTAATAACACATCCATCATAAGTTGACTGATTAAAATTCGCATAAATTCGGTGGATGGTTTGACATCACTGTCCCGTCAATAAATAAGTAATGTGGCTAAGTTCATTGTGAGGTTTTTAAGTTTAATTTGGTCAACGGAATGAAATTCAATGTTAAGGTCAATATTAAGTAATTTAGAACTTTCTTCACATCCCATTTTTTAGAGTATTTTGGTGTACATGATTTAAGTTCAAATACTCCCTTTAGAAATCTGCACACCAAAGGATCTTTACCGAATGAGATTCCAGCGTTTGGAATGATCACCAAAGATAGAGCTGACCGAGTAGTGTTAACAGCACTGTACCCCAGCCATAAATGAATAAGTTCGTTAAGAAATTTAATGGCTTTTGCCGTACAGGAATTATGTGGTGGAAGTTTTTGCTGATGAAAAAATTCTTCTCAACGAAACAAATATGACTTATATTGTTTTGTTCTACCTTTACGCCATGATGTAAAGAGAATTTCTTTCGCTGCATTTGACAGATTTTGGTTTGTTAGATTTTCCCCGGATGAAATGGCGATCATAAGTGATTTTCTTGTAAAGTCGACGTATCTCATCTGGATGACTGGGGAGTTTTAATAGTGTCATCGATGTCTTTAGGTGTATTGGTGGCATTTCCATCATTGCTAGAGCTTTTGGGTACCACGCTTGCGTTAATTAATTTGGAAGAACACGCGTACACACCTCTCGCTTTTTTTTCTTTTATTTTCTTCGGTACATTTCCTATAATAATGAAGGGTGGAAAAGCGTAGAACATATGTTGAGATCAGAGTAGACTAAATGCGTCCACTGACGTTGCATGAGGGTGGGGCCGTAGGCAAGAAAATTGATAGAGTCTGTCTTTCCAATAAAACTTCAAGTATTTACGACCTCTTTCTCTAATAGGTATGGAATAAGATGCATTTTTGAGATCGACGCCCACCATAGAACAATTTTTGTCAACTAACTTGATTATCGTACTCAATGAATCCATTCTAAAATGAAGATATGATAAACATTGATTAAATTTTGTAAGATTTAGTATAATTCTGAAAGTGCCGTCATTTTTTAGTCTTGTATATTTAAAAGAATTTCGTTTGGTTCGTTTGACGTTTTTTCGATTATGCTTTTGGTAGGCCATTGGTCTATTTCAGAATCTATAGTGTTTGCACGTGACGTCACAGCTTTTCTGTCCGCCATTGTGGGGGAGTTAAGAGCCAACATGGCCGCTGTAGTATTGCCTAGGTACATTTTTTTAACAGGTTCTCTTTAGACTTTTTTCGTGGTGAGGATTGAAAACCTCCTTGTGGTGACCATTGGGCACTAGCATGTTTTGTGAGAAAAGTATTGATAAGTTTTCTTACTTATTTATTGCATAAATTTCTTACTTTGTCCATGTTGTTTGACTTCTTTCATCCACGACGTACTTGATCAAACTTTATATTCTTTAAAGCAAAATTCTAAAGCATTGAAATTTGGAAGCCTCGATTCTATTAGCTTCTACCGCAGAGATCCCACGAAATACTACGCATGCGCACATTAATCATTCTCTACCTTGCTCACTGCCATTACAGATGGCGTTTTTGGTTATATAAGAATAGTCCATAAAATAATTTGCCATCCTGCTTTGTAGAACGACAAAATAGTTTTGGAAGAAGGAAATGACGGGAGAACTACTTTGGATGACCTTAACAGGAAAGTCGATCAACTTACTGTCTTGATGAGTTCTTTTGCTCCTGTAGTAAAAGATCTTAAGCAGGCTTATGACGCTGACCGGCAAATGAACGATGGTGATTATATGTCTGAAGTTGAAACTGATGACAAACACTCGACCAACAGGGCTGCTGCTGGAGTTGCAGATACAGATACAGCTTTAGAAAACAAAAGCGATGCTTTGGTAGATAAGCTGATTCACGAAATGACTGAGAATGAACCGACCGACCAAACATTGCCAACTAAAATTTCTAATATCCTACCTGTATTTTGTCCACTGGAAAAAACGAACAAACATTAGCAAAACGGAAGGAAGGAGTAAAACGCCCCGAAAACTGTGACCTGTTAAGAGTTACAAAGGTAAACCCAGAAATTTGGGACGTTGCTAGGAAAGCCACACGTAACATGGTTTCACGTACACAAAAATTAGAAGCCTTAATAAAGGGAGTCATTCCGATTTCCCGAATTGCGGGAACGATTAGTACTTCTCTTGGAACAAACCTTGCAACACCTGCACGAACACCAGAGGTTATCTGGGATGGCCTGTCCACATCCATTGTGCTTCTTGCTTCAGCTATTAATGATCTGAACATGGGCCGCAGGGACTTGTTCAAACTTGACGTTGATAAAAATTACAAGGAAATCTGTCGTAACAATGAACCTGTTCTTGCAGAACTGTTTGGTGATGACTTAAAGGAACGCCTGAAAACAGTGAAAGAAAGCAAAAAGGCTCCACAGCAACTGACAAGCCAAAAACGGAAACGAAACGATAAACGGTCGACCAGCTCATATAATTCCAATGATTGTAGTATAGTTGCAGGCCGGATGCAACAATTTATTAGGAAGTAAAGGGAGCTAACTCACGATCCTTCCATTTTATCAGCTGTGAGCGGATAAAAGATTGATTTTCTTATAGACCCAGTCCAGCTGAAACAAACCCACTCTATAAAAATATCTCCTTTGGAAGTACAAAATGTCCATCCTCAAGTTACAAAATTTCTAGAGAAAGGTATCATTGTTACAAGCATGTATGAACAGGGCGAGTTTATCTCCAACATCTTTCTTAGAGCAAAGAAAGATGGATCTTTTAGAATGATATTAAACCTAAAAGAGCTTAACACACTTGTAACATATCACCACTTTAAAATGGAATCTATTCATACTTGTACTCAGCTCATGCGACCTGGGTACTACATGGCATCCGTTGAGTTCATCCAAGTTAATTGGTAGCTTGTTTTCCTGGCGTTGAATATAGCCCACTGTTATGTCGTGATCTTGATAGGGACAAAACAACCGCTCTTAAGTCAAACAGGGGTAACTTTGATGTGACATTGAAACTCTCCCCTTCGGCGATGGAGGACGTATCTTGGTCGATTAATTAATGCATATGAGTCCAAAAAACATTTGAATCATGGCAAGATTGACCACGTATTGTATACGGACGCCTCTACCAAGGGATTAGGAGCAACTATTACCAAACAGTCCACCAGAGGCGAATGGTCAATCGCCGAAAAAGACTCGCACATTAATTGTCTGGAACTCAAAGCAATAATGTTTGGGCTACAATCTCTCTGTAAAGATTTAGTCCACACCCATATTAAATTAATGACTGACAACACCACTCCCCAGTTTACAGTTTTTATGTTTACAATAAATGTTGTAAGGTTAACAAAACAATGAAATAAATCAACAGTATTTAAAAAAACTCAAAAAAATTTACAATATAAGTTTACAAATCAAACTACACATTTACTCTAAACAATGAATCAACATATAGCTAAGAAAACATATTTCAAAATTGTTCTTAAATTGAGGAACGTTTATATGACAAGAAAGTCGCAAGATGTATAAATTTTTCACTTACATTTCTCATAAAACATATGAAAGTTTAAATAATAAACTTTATATCAGGAAGTGGAATGGTTAAAAATATGTATTAAAAGTCAGAGCTCAAATCCGAGTCAAAGTAATGTTCAGTAAGTTTACAATTCTCACTTTTCAATGCTTTACTGAGATACTTAGTATCTTCATTCCCTACTTTGTTATAATCAAGATACAATTCAGAAAGTTTACAATTCTCACTTTTCAACTCTTTGCTAAGATACTTATCACTTTCATCACTTAATTTGTTATAATTAAGATACAATTCAGTAAGTTTACAATCCTAACTTTTTAATGCTTCATTATAATGTTTAGCATCTTAATGACCTATTTTCTTATAATTAAGATACAATTCAGTAAGTTTACAATTCTCACTTTTCAATGCTTCTCTAAGATATTTAGTACCTTCCTTGCCTATATTGTTACCCGTAATATGCGCTTCACTAAGTTTACAATTCTCACTTTTCATTGCTTCACTAAGATATTTAGCACCTTTATTACCTATAATGCTACCCGTAATATGCAATTCAGTAAGTTTACAATTCTCACTTTTCAATGTTTCACTAAGATATTTCGCACCTTCATCACCTATATTGCTACCCATAATTTGCACTTCAGTAAGTTTACAGTTCTCACTTTTCAATGCTTCACTAAGATATTTAACACCTTCATTACCTATAATGCTACCCGTAATATGCAATTCAGTAAGTTTACAATTCTCACTTTTCAATGCTTTACTAAGATATTTAGCACCTTCATCACCTATCTTGCTCCCTTTAACACGCAATTCAGTAATTTTACAATTCTCACTTTTCAATGCTTCACTAAGATATTTAGCACATTCATCACCTATATTGCTGCCTATCATTACAAACTTAGTAAGTTTACAATTCTCACTTTTCAATGCTTCACTAAGATATTTAGCACCTTCATCATCTATTGCGCGGCAACTCATTTTCAACGTAGTAAGTTTGCAGTTCTTACTTGTCAAAGCTTCGCTTAGATGCTTCCAAAAATAATTGCCTAAAGCACACATCCAAAAACTTAAGCTGATCAAATTTTTCTCCTCCTTATTTAACAAATAGTTTTTTATTGGAAGACAGCTATGATTATCAAGAAACTTGCAATCGTGAAAAGTAAGATCAGATATGTGTTCAAATTCAGAAAGAAATTCAAACAATGCGTTTGAGTCAACAGGCGTAAAAGAAACTCCATCAATCCACGTTTCTTGGGAAAAATTCTCTAACTCTGTGCAAGCTGACCTCATGACATCTTTGTCCTGCAACTCGTATAGGCACTTTACTCCAAGAAAACCAAGGACTTTATCTCCAGTGAAGGAAAACATGTTTGAAATCCAATTTTTAAATCTACAAATTTAAAACACAAATGTTATTTTCAAGCCGTTTTTTTTTGTTCAAGAAAAGGTCGTAGGCTATGTAGCTAATTTTGCATGAGAAGAATTTATTTGTTAATGCAATAATTCAAGGCCGTTTTAAACATCGCAATTTACATCTGCTAAATGAATTCGAAATAGAAATGATGAGAAAAAATCCTTATATCCTTGTTTTTTTTAAACTAACCGGCTAAAATATGAAGCAATCTTTTAGTAAACAAGCTAAGGATTAAAGTAGCCAGGAAGAAAAAATTTGTTCAACGTGTGGCGTGTTACATGCACCTTTATTTTTAAAAACATATTTTCAGTGTTTTCTAATAAAATCATCGACATCGATCATTAACATTTTCTTAAAATTAAAGTAGTTCTTCGCATCCATCATGGTAATCCTGATCTAAATATTCAAATTTACCAATTTCTATCAAACTTTCTTTTTATCATATTTAATGTGAATAATTTAATAAAAGTAATTAATTCAAGATCCCATTCTTAATATAAACCAATCTGCTATAACGGTGACATTTTCATACTGTCGAAACGTGTTTGCTTTGAAGAATTAATTTTCCTTATTAAATGTAATTTAGGCTTTCTGCTACTTAGAAATTAAGGCATGAAAATTATGTGCAACGAAATTGTACATGAAAAAATATCATAGTTTTTTTTTGTAGAATTTGCTTTGACGATGCCTTTTGTAAATATGATAGGAAGATTTCCTACAGTAGTTAAGTAAATTAAAAAACACCGAATATTCAAGATAACTGTTTGCTTTTCAAGGTAACGTTTATAAATTCCAAATTCCTTTTTAATGTAAAAGTCAAATCAATTTTTTCAACAGACCTTACGAACGATATGTTATGGTTTTATTTTATTCAATATTCATTATTTATTTTACAAATATTAAGCAGTATATTTAGCAGACGTTGACACTTGAAGAGTATTCTGCCAAAATGCATCGTGTTGTATAGTTTCATAAAATTTCTTCTCGAACTATTGAGTTAGTGCTCTTTACTTAAAACAGTTTTTTAAGAACTATTAACTTATTACTTTTACCACTCGGTAAAGCACAGAGCACCACTAATAGTTAATTGACAGAAAGCCCACTATGGTTTTGTTGCGCCACTGAACTCAATCCCCCAACAAAATCCGACAATATTTTATCGACAGATACATAGACTTAAAGATTTTGTTGTGATCTTGAGGGATCACAATTAGGAGGTGAGGGCGTTGGACTGTTCTTCAATCTACACACAATGTGAATTATTTAGAAATACCAAGTCTCTTTTTTGCGTTTAGAACACTTATATAACAATTTTCTCGAAAACATGCGTGTGTGCGTGTGTGGGAGAGAGAGAGAGAGAAAAGATAATATGACTGAAGTCAGCCATTCACAATATTTTTTTAAAATTTAGAATTGTTGTATAGAGTATGATAAGTTTGTAAACAGAGTACACACAAAAGGCAATGAGAATGCAGCGGCAAATGAACAGTCTAGAAAACCTTTAAAAGAAACTGAAAGGGCTATTAGTAAAATCTCATATGAGCAAAGGCTAAATGTGGAAATCAAGTAAGTTAACAATTCTCTTCTCATTTTAATTAAAGTACGCAAACCTTTTAAATCTTATCATCTGAATCCCGAAGCTTTTAAAGAATTCAATATTTATTTTTTGATTTCCCTCATCTTACAATATACCTATAATTTTACAAAAACTGCGCGAGGATAAACGACAAGATTGATAGTAGTTTGGATATGGTCTGCAAAACTTTGGTGATGTATGTATCGCATATTGTCTATACTCTGTTCTACTTTTCCATTGTAGAGTATGACAAGTGCATGAAAATGTCAAAGCAATCAAATTCAACGTTGAAGATAAGAAAATATAAGGTCTGTGTCATCCCCAACAAGTAAGGTAGATTTTGATTTATCAGACAAAATTGTTGTTTTCACAATTATTAAATCAGCGTCACCATTTGCATGACGTGTCTTGCAACCATTTTCTCTTAGATAGCAACTTCAAGAAATATCTTCTGTTCTTTTGGTTTGATTGGAAGAGATCTTTATTTCTTCAGTCAACCATTTGAGGCGTCTTTCCAAATGACCTTCTCGTCTGCGTCATCTGCTTAGTACATTTGCTGTCTATACTCGTCAATTACAATAATGGCATTTCCATATTCTTTGCTACGTAATGACAATGTAAAAGACATACTTCTCTGTAGGTTATAGACCCTGGAGATGCCCAAGGTAGTCTGTGCAAAAGTGCTCCCCTGTCTAAAGCATATTGCCAGTTTTTTTCACTACCTGGGCTTTCGACTTGGGTTTCATGAGGAAGTCTAGACCAAATGGCATCAGCCAAAAACTAACTTGTTAGGTTGCAATAGCATCAAAGAAGAATCAAAAAGGGACGAAAGATACGATACAGTTCATAGCGAAAGAGTGATAGGAGATCGACTTGCACCTGTTATCACTTATCTTTACATAAGATTTTATTGCCAAAGTTACAGCATTGTTTTTCCTTTTGAACTGGTACTTGAAAGGCAATCTATCCTTCATTAAAGAAAGAATCATTTCTCCCACAGTCTTTGCCTTTATCCATTGACTCCAATTGGGATTTTTAATTTTTAATTGTGAATCTTGCGAAAATGGGTTGTGCTCTTAAACGACGGTAAATATTTTCAGAGTATTCCTTTTCTCTCTCTCTTTTCTTGCATGAGTAATATCCTTTTCGTGTACACCAGAGCTATAGTTTACACATGTTTACTCTTGCATTAATTGACTGACTTCAGCAGTAGCAGGCATCGCCAGAAGCCATGTAAGCCGTTGCTGCTAAGTCATAACACTCCTCAACAATAAACCGCCGCTAGTTTTAAATTACGCTTCAACACTTGTTCGATGATAAGGTATTCAAGAGGCCGGCCATGTAACTATTACTTCGTCTGACAACATGGGGCCCAACATTAAAGCCTCCGTACACTTCACGTTTATCTTGCTATAGATAATTTATTAATTCAAAATTTAAACTTGCACAATTAATGAATTGAATGTGCCAAGCTGCAGGAAGAAAGGGTAGCATTTTGCTGATAACGTGTAATTTCAGATGCCACTTGCTTAATCACTCTGCAGTAATGAAAGCTTTAAGAATATCAACCATTTCCATATATTGTAACCATAATGCTGAGGTACGTCTGCACTTTTGAATATTATTTTAGTTCTGATTACGTGTTGTGCAATCTATTAACAGTTCACTAGATTTCACATGAAATCTTTTTGTGTAGTGGTAGCTCAAAAAGAGAACGTGCTTCTGATAAATTTTGCCAGCTGTTTTCAAAGTATAATTTAATGAAGATAAAACGTGGCATCTAACTTTTAAGGTTTCATACCAACCGAAAATTATTGTTTCACATCGATTTTCATGCTCAAAACAGGAAATTTCTAAATCAAATCTAGAATAAATTTTTTCACTTTTAATGCTCATTGCGTTGTTATTTAAGAAGCCAAGAAATCTTTCCAATGAAATTTTGCAAGCAAACCAGTGTTGCTTAATTCAAAAATGAATTTGCATCTATACCTCTTGTCTCTTCATATGGTATGTTGCCCCACTTCTTGCTTGAGCTTTCTGTGACTTCTTGATTACTTATATTGTCATTGAGAGAAAACTTATGTTCTAAAATATTACATGATTACAATAATGCTACATATATTATGGAAAATTAAATCAATAATCGTGTAAACAATTTATTATCATGCTACCTGTACTTGCTAAACTGCAGAGAAACCAACATCTGAAGCAAAGAGAAGGTTGTTTAAAGGAGCATCAACCATTACGTGACCACGGACTGTAACTGCTATTGCTTTACCGCTGAGCATCTAGTCAACCGCATTTGATTGGTATGAAAGATTAAAAAGCTTTTTTAACCCGCCCTCTGCCATTGGATGAACAATAGAGCCAGGGAAGCTCATCTTCGTGTAAAATGCGCCAATGCGATCTATTACGTTGGTGATAAGACATCTGGTTGGCTCATTTTAAATAATAGGCAGGTCAAATTTAATAATTGGATATTTTGTACCGTGTTTCTAGGCATGTTCTGCAATGAATTTAAGGGTTAAGTAGATCAATGTTTTGTTATTTAGTTCCAGGTCTATGATTGGCAGAAAAAATACTTTAGAAGAGGATGTTTTAGATGATATTCACTAACAATTGTTCAATGCATCATGCAAGAGCATTATGTACAGGCATCTAAGTTAAATAACAATGACATCCCTCAGAGGAGAGTGATATCTGAACATGTGTCTGGATTCTCTCAAATATCAATGTTTTGTATTGCAAGTTAAAGGGACATCTAAGCTCGGGTGGTGAAATTATCTGAACATGTCTGGCTGCAGAAATGTCAACTGTTTTAATTGATGAGATTGGATGAGCACAACTTGATCCAGGTGTAACAGGTACTACCATTCCCATAGCATGAAAAGAGTCCCTACCATCTAAGATTCTAACATTATAATCAGCATTGTCTGCAGAATACTGAATAAACTCTTCATTTAGGATGGAACATCAATATCTGTGGTTCGATCAACTGATTTTTTCTGGCTGAAAGATTGCACCTCATTGTACGACAAACAAAAGCCCATTGAATGTTTGCAATCTATCAGTAATTGGGGTGCGAAAGTGAGGTGTAACCTGCTGGACAACTAGCCCTATTTGAAGTTGTGCCATATGACATAAATAAAATTATCCATATCTAGGTGATCATTATACTCGAAGTATTACACACGCCAATGTTTTCAATTTAATATAATAATATATAAAGTGGATTAAAAATCAGTATCAAACAGGAATGTTCAAATTACAAAGGAATTATAGTTAACTTTTTCATTATTTAAGGATAAAAATGGTTGCAAATTCTTCACCGCAGTCAAATAAAAATACCTTACTTTTTAAAAGAATTAGATACGGAAGAAATATTTGTCCGTGTTTGTATGATTGAAACATTTTGTTTCATGTATAAAACGGAAATTAGCGATGTTTACATCTGGAAAATAAACATTGGACATGCACTCTCGAGAATATACGTTTCAACTAAAAAGTCTTGTCAAACTAGGAGAAACGTAGAATGAAGAAAGCGTTTAAATATTTTTAATGATGTATTGTACATGTAATGTTTTGATGTCTAGTGCGTCATAGTGCATGTTGCAACAGTATTAACTGAGACACTTGTGTGAAAAAACATAAATCTTTTTATATACAATATTTTAATCACAAAAACAACTTAATTTACATATTTCATATATTACATAAATTCAAACATATTGCTTTCACAATACATTATCGTTTATTTTAAATTTCAATTTGTTTCAATAAACGTCGCAAGTCTATTTCGCCATTTCTTTAAGCATTCTGGTACTTTATTTTTTTACATCGGCACAAACAATCCTCAATTTTATCATGTTCCGAAAGTTGGATTTCTTAGGACTTTTCATACAGAGACAGATCTGGGATTTTAAATACATCAAGCAAATTTCATGACGCCAGATATATGACGTCATAAAACAGACGTCATATCATATGAAATTGATAAAATAAGGCTCATTATTTATGCATGTCTACACTGTCCTGTTATCCTTAGTGGCTTATCTGAATATATTAAAAAACATACTGGAATAATAAACATTAGAGCTAACTATATACTCATTACTTCCATTTACAAATAAATTATACAGTAAGCCCACAATATGAATACCTTTTTCAAAACTAAAAGTGTTTTGTAAGAATGAAATGTGGTTTCTTACACCACTCCATTAAATTATAACACTTACCACTACCACACAATCATTGCTCTCTAAATACCCATTATGTAGTGATAGTTAATGTAGTATTGAATAAAATAGAATACTATACAGAGCTTTATGTAATTTTTGATTGTATTTAGTGCAATGTATTGAATTCTGAAAAATTATTTTCATCGATGTTCATGTTTTTAAATTATTTTTTAAGATGTTCTTCTCTTTACTAAATGATAACTGAGGTTGGTATATACTTTAGGTTATAATGAAAGTTACACATTTTAATTATAAAACAGTAAGAGGAGTATTTCTCACCACATTTCTATATCAGCTGTCCAGCATGCAATGTCATTATGTATAACGTTGAATACTAGAAAATGTTTGATAATTAATAGATAGCTCACAAATAACGTGGAAAAATTCTGAATATATGTAACAAAACCCTACTTTATTAGTGAAGCATATTGCAAAGGAAAGATTAAAACAAGAATCTTTTCGCTACAATAGATAACCCAAATCTTATCATTTATATTTAAGGAAAAGACTTAAAAAGGAAAGTATGCTCTTACTTTAATGGTAAATATCAAAACCAAGTTCCGCCTACTGTGGCTAACCTTAAAACATTTACAATTATACCTCATTACTTAAAAACATCCAGATTTTAGATAAAAGTAGGTTAATGAGATGTCATGTGTCAAAGAATCTTTAGATTGCTGCTTTGAACAACAAATTATGAAAATTGTAGTTGAAAGATAATAAACAATTTTTTTTTGAAAATGAGTTCTTTTAGATTTAGTAAAAAAATTCACGTAATAATATAAAACGTGTAGAGATTTTTTATTAATAAATATAAATATTTTACCTTTGTTCAACAACGTTAATATCCTCTACTTTTCCTTTTTTTTTCATATGTCCAACTAAACCAGCAATGAATTCAATCACCAAATGCCATTTAGGATCTGCAACGTGATCATCCAAAAACTGTCCAATATTTGGATAATCCTCAACAATACACCACGCAGCTAGAAATTCCTGAAGAGTTAAATGAAGAAAACAATAAAAAAAGCGTCGTTTATGTGGTACTTGATGAAAAATACCACAGTTTGCCAAATTATGAAATTCTGTATTATTCTCTTCTTCAAAAATCAAATTTCCTTCCTCAAGTCCTCTCTTTGCTGTTTCTTTTATTTTTTTTATATCGGTATCAAGCAAGGATGGTAAAGGGATAGTCAAATGATTTTTCGGCGGTGTTTCTTCTTTAAGAAAAGGATGATGTCTCCATAGTAAGATTTTAATTGCTCTGTTGTACAATTCAGTGATTGTCTTTGGAATATCGTCAGCATTATTTACAAAGCATTCCTTTAGGGTCAAACAAACAATATAAGTGTTGACAGGGATGTAGCACAGGCTACGAAGTTCATTAGAATTATTAATGCAATTCAAAATCAGCTCATTGGTTTTCTTGTCATCACCACAAAACTTTTCGATATAATCTTTGATCTGTTCTTCAAAAAACCCTAAGATCTCCACTGTTCGGTCAAATTTTAGTTCATCAAATGCATGTTCAGCTGTGGGTCGTGATGTTATAACAACAGTGACACCAGGCAACAGTTTACGTTTTACCAAAAAACTTAATAGTCTAAATGCTGGCATTTTCGAATCATGGATGATTGAACGATCAATTTTAAGGCTTTCTTCATTCAAAGATAGTTCATCAAAACCATCAAAGACAAGAACAGTTTTTTCAGGATTATTGATTATAAAGTCATAAATGTTAGAAAATTCTTCATCTAAAAATCCATCACAATCGCTTAACATATCTTTGAGATTAATGCTGCCATTTTTAATAGTACGACATCGAATTAAAAGAACTAGTTTATCAAAAAAAAATTCATCTGAATTTTTTATCCATTCAAGTAAAATTTTTTTTGTTAACATAGTTTTACCAATTCCTGGCCTTCCAATAACTAAAATGGTACGGGGATACGATTGGTCTTGCTCCCCCTGGATTGGTTTAAAAATCTCTGTTGCCCTTGATAATTTTTTGATATTTTCTCCTATAGTAAGATAGCAATGAAAGATTTCGTGCCTTTGAAATATTTCTGGATAAGCATTCATTAATTGTCTATCTTCTTGCATTAAGACGTTAATGTAAATATCATTAAGATTTCGCCACTCTTTCGTCTCATTGCCAAAGTCGTCATGTATTTCAAATACTTCGTTAGTGTCGAAATTGTTTTTAATTTCTTCCAAAAGTTTTCCACATTCTTTTGTTCTCCGCGGTACAAAATTCAAGTAAACTGTACAAAATTTATCCTCTCTTTTAAAAGAGTTATCAGTCCAAGTCTTATACGTCAAGTAACACAGCTCCAAAATTGTTAGTGTTATTACAATGAAATCGAAGGATAAAACAGCTTTGATTACATATTCACTTTTATCTCCGTTGGGATTTACACAAACAATGGTTGAAATAGTGTGATTTAACAAAGAAATTTCTTTCATAGTTGGACGTCTTCTACAGGTGTATTCGACGGGAAACTTGGCAGAAAAAAGTAATCCAACAAGAACAGATAATATGATAATGCGAACCACCAAATGAACAATGTAAATGTAAAATGAAGAAAAATTGAATGCAACGTTGTCAGGTTGACGAGTTCCTTCGCTATATTCCACATGCAGAAGTTCACTTTGTTCGTCACTGTTTTCTATTGGACTGTCATTATCATTATGTTCAATTCGACGCTTTACATAATATCCGTAGACGATAGTCCATAAAAAGACAATACCAAAATTAAAAACTACCATAAGAAAAGCAGCATACTTAAAAGTTAGACCATCTTTGTATTGTCTGAAACATTTTGATTCAATGCTCTTTAAAAAAGAGCTTTCTCTCGTCTTTGATATAATCTCATTATGACAATAAAATGAATTATCGTCATATACTTTTAATGCATGAACAGAAACCATAACGCCAATGGTAAAAAAAGGAATAAGTGTTATTCTTCCAAACCAGTTAAAACTGCTCCATGGTATGTATTCAAGACACTTTTCCATTTTTATGCTTAAAAAAAGTATTAAATCGTCACATTATTTTGAATTCAAAACAAGACGCTAGCATTGGCGTTCAGTATCGTAGCTAGCTTGTAGATTTACTTCCACTATGTAAATTTTGAAAGTTTACCATTATTCATTTCTTTAGAAATCTACTGTTCTCACGGTCGGTGAACACTAAATTAATAGCATAGCGGGACTAAAAAGTCGGAATGGCTACGCTACTGCTGGCTTTACCCACAGCTCTATGTACAAAGTCGCACGCGAAATTCCAGTATTGTATATACCTCATGCAACAATCTACTTGGTGTCTAAATGATTATCTTGCATTAAGATATACAGGAATTTTAGTAGACACATTTGATAATCATTGCAGTAAGTGTTGTTTGGTAATTAAATAAAGTGTAAAATTATGTTCTTTCGCTGTGGCATATAACCAGCTAGAGCATTGGAGGGAGAAGGATATTCATGTACGTGTGCTCTACAATAATAAATTCTTTTACAAAGGTAGCTATGACTCTAAGTTGGCACTATAATAAATCTTACGTAACTGTGCCTCAGGCTACTGGCATTGAGTTAAATATGAAACAATTTGTTTATGTAATAGCATGGTTTCGGGTGCAATTTGGCATAAACATGCACGAGTGAGTTTTTCAATGACTGCCATGCGCTTAACCAATCAGTATTAAGAAATTTCTTTATGTATATTGTTACCAGAGGAAACGACAGTAGCATTTTGCTCTTTCCTAATGCATCCCATATGATCATTTACATTTGAAACAAATGAATAAACAAGAATCGGTCACAAAAGCTCCATGCGATGCACTTTCGTGTAAATTAATATTATGCATTTGACTTCAGTTTAGTTCAGCTTAGCTCTAATTAAGATCTTAAAAATAATAAACCTCATTCAGTAAATGGTTTTCTGTAATATTTTAGACCTGACTTATGTCACATTAATTATGTTGGTTATAACAAAAGGGTAGGAAAATGGAGGGTATTTGGTTGAACTCTGTTATTGAATAAACAGGTCGTGTAATAAATTTTCTAAACAGCTCACATAACGCAACACAGCAGCAAATGAAAAACTTATTGTGCAGTCCGAACCTTGAATGTTTTCTAACCTTAGTTGTAGACAATTTGCTCCATACTTACACGCTTTTTTCGTACTAATTAAGCCGGTTTTTCACTTGCAAATTTTGGCGCTAAAAGCGATAATTTTCGAGTTAAAATATTTGTGCGACTGGGTATATTTGTTTTCTAGGTGTAAATTTGAGCTCACAAAGTGCAAAAAATCAATGCAAACTTGCTTAATCAAACAGTAACTATATTCCAAAGCTATCATCAGAGAATATATATAATATATTAATCCCTAACAGTTTACTATGTCGGAATAACGTGTTATAATTCTCATTGCTAAAAAGAAGACCATAACTACAAAGCAAATACAACAATGTTTTTTTGTACGTCGTTTGTATGTTGTAACGGTAAAGAAAAGGAGAATTTCATCTGCTCGTGAGAGACATTTGTATTGACGATATGTAATACACTTTCATGAGCATCGTTTGTTTCGTGAATTAAAAACCACTAAGAAATCTGATTCTCGAAGAACTCAAGTTTTCGTCGAGGCGTGATGACGGCTTTGCCGTTTACGTTGTGGTTAGCATTTCAGTTTTTAAGAGAAGGAGGCCCTTTTTGTTATGGGTAAAGTACCGCAAGCTTTTTTGTGTATTTCTATTACAACAAAGTGACTTTTGTGAAGCAAAGTAATTATTTTAAGTGAGTATAAATCATGAATATGCCTATTAAGCTTTCAACAGAGTTTTAATAAAACAGGAACTACAGCTCCTGACAATGCAAATTGTGAAATACAAATGCAAAACTACGTATCAAACTCGGTTTTTTCGAAGCAACAAACCTAAATGGCAAATGGATAATTTAAAAATGCCGTTTGCCTAAAACGCTAAACTAAAACTCTCTATTTGCGCAATACAAACAACAATAAGAAAAATACAGATATCACTTGCATATAATGCTTAATTAGACACAAGTTACAAGAAATCGAAATTTGAGCATAATTGAGAGAAGTGCAAGTCTTAGAATGTTTAGTCAGAGATACGAAGATGAAACTCCAAATGAGAGTTTTATCTCCTTAAAAATCAGATAATTTGTTTAATTATAATTCAGGGACTTGTTCTATTTTTTGTATGATATATCTTTTGTTGTATGAAAACATCCACACGAATTTTTAAAAAATTTAATGACTTTAATGACTTTAATGACGAACAATATGTACTCCCTATAGGTCTTTTCAGTAACTAATTACAAAATTAAATACATATACATATTTGCCTTATAAATGTATGAAAAAAAATTATTATTAAAAGGATTTTTAAAGATAAAAGTGACATTTCGAGATGGAACTACAAAAGATCTTTAAAAGCTTTCTTAAAAGAATCAAGAGACTCGGAAACTTTCAAATCTTTTACCGAAGGAAAAACGAAAAAGCCTTTAATAAGTCAGCGCGGACAGGCGTTTATGTAAAAAATCCACTCGACATGAGCACAATATGCGCATTCAAATTATCCATAGTTCCCTACTTCTTAACTGTATGTAACCTCCTTAAAACATTTGGCAGAAAATTTTTTGAACAAAACCAATGGAAACGAAAGATAATTGCAAAATTACTAAAATTAGTAAAATTCTTGTAATAAGCGATTCTTATCTATAGCAAGTATTAACTGATTTACTTAGTACTTTTAACTTGCTTTGCTTAAATGCTCTACAAACCCTGTGAAATTGAATAGGCACATAATTTAATAAAGCAAACACGCTAAATAAGCAAATGCAAACAGAACAAGAATTTGGCAATGTTTTTCATAAGAACAAACCGAAACAAAACACAATTGCAACATTATTAAAATTAGCAAATTTCTACATTCAGAAACCATACCTTTAATATTCAACAATATGGTCATGAGTTTCTACAGGTAATCTAAAATAAATATGATTTTGTATTGTCAGGCATGATCAAAATTTATTCAAAGTTTTATTAAGTGACTAATATGTAGCGAACGCATTAAATGAAATCTGCATGAGATAACTTAGTCTGCAATGGAGATTTTTCTGCCTCTTTTATTAGTTACACGTTTTTCGATGTTCAAAGAAACATATGGAAAATGTGATTACGTTTCCGCGGCTTTATGTTCTTATAAATCGTGCTTTTTTATGTTACAAAGATGTAATATTGCTCGGGCAAATTTATAAGGGTCACATTTATCCTTTGCGTCGATACGTGGCAAATTATTTTGTTCCACGGAATTTAAATCATGTTAAGAAGATATTCACTAATTGTTATGAAAACAGAGAAACGCTTAAAATTTTTATTTTTATTTAGGTATTTATTGTATTAATACATAAGGCATGCAGCAAGGTTACTATGTAGGACTCTTTGCTTTCTTTGGGAATAATTAATATATTTTCTCTAGGGTATGTGTATCATCATACCGTCGTAGGAAAAACGGTAATTTGTGGAGGGAGGAAGCTCATACTTATATATGCATGTTATAATCTGTAGAAAACAACGAATTTAAAGTAAGGCATATTATGCTTGTACGAATATTCGCAACAATTATAGATCTTTCTACACTCATGCATTATGGGTGATGTTTTTACATTGATTCAAGATTTCTTAAATAAACATTACGAAGCGTTTTCCTTCCATTTCACCTTACGGTTGACTTATGTGTTAAGTTTTTATAGGCAACTCAATCCTACGAAATATGCTGTTCAAAAACAAAATCCAATTGCATCACACAAGAGAAATAAAGTTTTGAAAAAGACATCACCCCCCGTCAAGTGGCATGCGACAGAATTTCACAAAGCTCGCACGTGATCTACATGTTATTTCTAGAGCTGTGTTTTGAATTAAGAACCTAAATGTTGTTATGGGAGGTAGTTCACTTACGGATAAAGCTAATCTTTTCATTTTTTCGATTGGTACTAAAATACATTGTATTTCGTTACGTTACTGCAATCAAGATACTTATGAAGTCAATGAAGCGGAACTTATTGAGCAGAAAAGCAACGACACTTTGCAATGGCGCCCGATATCACAGAATAGATACATACAGAAGGGCTACTTCGCGAAAAATGCGGTCCTAAATTTTAATGCGCATGCGCCACTTCCGCCATGTTGGCAGCAAGATAAACTTGCTACACTAAATAAGGGTAGCAATGTACAACTCAAAAATCTTGGCGTCATTACTTAAAAAGTTGAATTATTTATCCTGGGACGACCAAATGAAAGCTGTGCTGAAATGGGAACATACAATCAACATATTTTTATGCTTTTTCATGTAAAACCAATGTGTACAATTCTGTCGAGACCTGTATGAGAAATGCTGTGCCGTGGCCGTGTGGTCAAGGTTATTTGTATTTATTTATTTGTAAAGAACGGAAGCGGAGAAGCGCTTTACGAACGTCTTTAAATCAGACTCAAGAAGGAAAAATGTGAAACTTATCAACGGACGGGCTACACTAAAAAAGATATTTCGTATGACATTGGATTTGGTGCTTTACAATTCAGAAAAATTTAGTCATATCCCGAACACTCGATAAATGTTCATTGAGAAATTGCAAAATTATGCAATTGTATTTAATGCCAATGCCATATTGTGTTGGGAAAATTCTTATATTGTATGATTGTTGCTAACTTCCTGATGCTCTTAACTATATGTTCCTTAAATTTGTCATGTGTTACGAACGTCCCGACTAACAATAAAATGGCCGCTTTTGGTTCAATTGCTCGTAACAAAAGGAGTAAAACCTTGTGGAGAAGTTGTTGTCAATTCTTAGCATATTTATTTAATATACTAATAATTTTGATATAAACGTTATAATATAAATGTGTAAATGTTCAAAGTTATCTAAGACAACTGCTTTCAGTGACTCTTTTGTTGATGGATTGGATATATATCTGGATTCTTTGGTTGTTTTCGTATATAGTTCGTTTTCTTTTACATGAGGCTTTCTTCTGATGTGGACTTCTACTAAGCACCAACATAACTACAGCTTTCGTTTCATCACTTATAAGTGATCGTACAATGACGTAAACTGTGGTCAGTAGATTAACCACGTCCTGTACGTTGTCTGTAGTCAGTAGGTTGACCACGTCCTATACGTAAGCTTTTCCTGTTATTGTGGTTATCATACACATGCATGTATGAGTAAGGCATTTTACAAAGATCACTAAATAGTTAACTAATAATATATTTTCGCTAAACTAATTACATTTATAATAGTCTTTGATATTTACTTATTCGCACTAATGGCTGACAAAAAGAAGTTAAAAGGTGGAGCAAGGACTCATTGTTCAGCAGTAAACTGCATTAACAGCAAAAGAACTCGACCTGACTTAAGCTTCTTTCGTTTTCCGCGAGATCCATTGAGGTAAAATAGTAAATGTAGTAAGTTTTGAAAGTAAAGATAAACTTTTACAAATTACTATGACATTCACATGCCTTTAGATCAAACGAATGGGTTCAAAACACTAGACGCCAGGACTTGTTAAATAAAACTGCAAATTATCTCTATAATAACTGCAAACTGTGTGCAGAGCACTTTGAAGAGTGTATGTTTCTAAACTTTGAAAAATCACGATTAAAAGTCCTGGCTAAGCCTACATTATTTAATATTCCAAATCCACCACGTGCTGTTGGCCAGAAACGAAGGGCAATTCACAAGGAAGAAATAGGTAATTGTCAATTAGGTATTTCACTATATTATGGAAGTAAATTAAGGAGTTTTTACTAAGAGAAACTCAGTTTTAGGCACAAAAAGACGTATAACAAAGGCAGAGGTGTCAAGTGTTGTAGTACATGATATACCAACTGTTTCAGTGGAAGATGAACCACATTCACATAATGAAAAAGGTATATGACACATGCAGTCAAGATGATCTCAACCAAACGATTTAAATTTGTTTAGTTATTTGATATCTTGAATTTTAACAGGTGGAAAAGACACAGAAATAAAAGATTTCTGCTGTCAAACACTTTCCTCACTTTCAAATGACACACCTAGAAAAAAAAAATCAAAGGAGAAAGCTGAAAGTGAAGCAGCAAGTAATTGCAAGGCTTAATACAAAAGTTAGAAAATTTGCCAAAAAGGACACATCAACCAATCAATCAATTTATGCTGAATTGAAAAAATTACCAAATCAACTGGCTAATTTCATAGAATTGCAACTGAAGTTACATTCAACAAAAAAACATGGAAGAAGGTACTCACCAGAAATGAAGTCCTTAGCAGTTTCTATATATCATGCTAGTGGCAAAGCGTATAGCCTCCTCTCCAAGCTGTTTATTCTGCCAACAAAGTCTTCAATTAGACGGTTTGTTTCACGAATTCCAATAACAGCTGGTATTCCTCAGGCAACCTTAAATCTGTTAAAGTAAATGGTTTGCATCAAATTTGCAAATCGCGAGTTTTCCTCTTCTAATAAAAGATCACGAAAGTACATTAAAGTCAAGCATTTGTAACATTCTACAAACTTACTACAAGGAAAAGTCCATAGACAAAGTTGATGATCCTTTTCATTCTAACTCGCAATACAAGCATAACCATGATTGAATGTTGGCAAGTTGGCAAAAGTATCAGACCACAATAACAAATTTTGACTCTAAAACTTGTAATCTAACGATGCGATTCGACCTAAGTTGTCAAAATTACCTTCTTTGACATTGCTCGTGATGGCATACACAAAACAAAAATGGAATAGCCATAAAATTATCGAGGACGCGCCGAACTGTTTCTCATTACTAGATTTTCTATTACGAACTTGCTAGAGTTATCTTGCTGCCAATATGGCGGCGATGGCTGATTGCGGGCTAAAAGTTGACAACAAAATCTTCAAAGGTTCCGACCATTGAGTTCTATAATAACTGGAGGGGCTAACTTTACTGGGGCGAGGATGCCAAAAAAATGGCGGCCAACGGACGTATTTCCGCTGAAATGATCGCTTTGCAGAAAAATAATATTCTCGACCTCCCCCTGGTGTCTATAGTAAATTATAAAGAATTTTTCAAAAACAAACACGATATCACAGAATATGGATATCGTTAGTTCCATAATCTGTGACGATTCTTTTTTGGCATTTCTTTTATAATGCCAACACTTCAATCGTTCAATTGTTGGATGTCGTAGTTTCCACAAAAAGGAACATATCGCTTCTCACAGGTGAGGTAGTTGTTTGTTTTGTTAGTCCGTCAACGATTGAAAAGCAATTATACATGCACTTGAAAAGCCATAAAATACATATTAAAGATCATATTTTTTAAGACTGACTTGAACGCCAAATATACTGATGTTTTACTGTTTATAAAACTCTGTATACTTGTAAAATTCTTATAAAATTCTGTATACTTTTCTGTCATTTGTTAATGCATGAAATCGTAAATTTACCCATCTATTTGCAAAATAGTTTCCCTAAAGCAAAAAAGACACTGCACACATTTTGCTCTGTATCAAAAATGTGATCTGGTATCAAAAAGAAATGATCAGCCCAAACGGTACCCATGATTTGGAGCAGAGCTTGTTATGTTCTATTTGCTGACAACATGCAGGGAAGATCAAGGAGTAAAGATGACTGGAAGATGTTATTGACCAGGCAGAGTCTTAAAAAATGATAATGCTGTAAAGATAATTGATTTATTGTGTGCCCTATCCAGAGTTATTTAATTTGATTGTGGTCAAATTCTATGGATGGAGACAATGGATTCACTAAGGATGCCTTGAATGCTTTGAAGTTAAAGTTCATGATCCAAAGAAAGATGGCAAGAAGGTTGTATGTGTTTTGATGCTTAATGAAATGTCAATTCACAAACATGTAAAATGAAAGGCCATAAAGTTTGTGTCTATGTAAACATTTGTACTGAGATTGATGATGACTCGATGCAGATGTGAAGCTTCAAAAGGTATAAGCCATTGGGTTTTATGTAACTTAATGTTTAAATCATGTCATATCTTTATCAAAATATTTTAGTTGAGTGTTGTTTGAATGTCACTAATATCTAATGCACTATACTGAAGCATTAAAGATTCAGTGATGAAACCTTTAAAGTTACTGTACTGTATATTTCTTATATATTTCTTATATTTCTTCAAGAAAAATTTGATTTTATTTACCTATTAGAGTACAGAATGGAGATTTATCATATGCATTATTGCTGCTTTTTTAAAGAAAAGTTTTTCACTTTTCAAAGCTTTTCTGCAAATTTTTTGCTTCTTATTTCTTATCATGAGATTGATGATATAGAGGTAATATAATCCAATAACTTTCTAATTTCTAAAAAGCTTTTAAGCTTCTAGCATAAAAGTACACTATAGGAATGTAATTCATTTGGTTTTATTGCCTTGCTATGACATATCTACTTGCATTTCATCATTCTTGTATGAACAAAACACCAGATGTGGATACTCAGAGAACAAAATCCACTACCAACTGCTTATGAAATTTATTATTGAGGTGAAAACTGTGTTAATCATTCAAATTATAGTGCACTTTTATTGCAAATATAGGAAAAACAAAACAAAGTGAAAAAGAAAGGTAGAAGTATTAAAACTACAAATGAATTATAAACACCATTGGAAGCATAAGTGTTTTGATGATTATTTGCATTTTGCCCAATTCATATATCAATACAACAAAATCAAAATGTGCTACAACTTTACAAGTATTTGATGCAGTTGCACTTCAGAACATCACAAAAGGTTACTTAAAGTAATTTCTACACAATATTGTTTGTTTTATTTACCAAACCTATGCAGACTTGAGTCTTTTGAAATTTCATATGAAACTCAATTACAGAAAATCCGTAAATATCCAGAGATTTAATATGTACTTTTTAAAGAAACAAGTAAAATCCTACAATTGTGGCGAAAAAGCCATTGCCCATTGCATGAAAAGAAGCAAAATAGCAATGATAACAAATAAGCTGACTTCTCTCGTGAACCGTGGAGATGAACTATGATATACTTTTTTGTATAGACTAAAGAGTTTAATCGATCAAACAAGTTTGACGCTGGTAAGAAAACGACGCACATCTGCATTCATACATGTGTAGCCGATATATAGGTCTTTCGTCGATAGTTATAAATGCATCCTCGTAGCAGCAGATAACTGACAACCACAGTTGACTCGCTGTTATGAATTTAAGGTTTTTACCTTGATTTTCAACAAAAAATTGCTTGCCGAATCCCAAATACACATATACATTTTCCTCACTCTTTCCTCAGGATGGAGTGGGAAATTGTGAAATTTTCGGAAAAGCGGTCAATTTCGGTAAATCTCAGCGGCAACGGACGAAATCCGCCATTTTTTTGGCATCATCAGATATCTAAGGCCGCGCTTGAGATAGCCGCTCCAGTTATTATAGAACTCAATGGTTCCGACGAGACTGGCCCTTCTGTATGTCTCTATTCTGTGCCGATATTAACAGAATGTCCTTATAGTAAATATCAGGGGCGGATCTATGGTATGTCAAATCAATCACGCGACATGTTTATAGTTCAATAATTATTTATCAAATTTAAGGATTACAATTTTTTTGATCATTAAATTTTCGTTCTGCAATAGTTTGGATTTCATCCTAAAAATTCTGTTCTATGTATGAAAACTTATAAAAATCCCACTTCAGTAAACAGATCAGTAGATAAAAACATATCTAGAATTGTATTTACTCGCTGACTGATAAACGGGATGGCTCGACTGGTTCGACCGATAACGGAGTTCAAGAACGCTTATTTAAGCCATTTCATTGGTCAATAGCCAGATCAATGGACGAACTGGAATAATCTCGACCGATAAGCGAGGAGGCTGGACATATAAGGGAGTCCAATTAATATCGTGTAATTGGTTCGTTTAAATTTTTGTCTTACTGAGATTGGTTTGACCGATTTCGACTGATAGCCAACTGAACTAACATAGTCAAGCTCACTGTTTGAGTTGAATGTTTGATCGTTTCATAGTAATTTCTTAAGCATGATAGAAACTAAACTACAATCAGATGGAATTTATGGAAATCTTTTATAAATTCATACATTGACATGAATGCTGCTTTTCAAACTGGGAATTTTTTCAAGAGGGCGAAAAATATATGGATAAATTGTAAAGGCTTGGCAAAGACGATCTCGCGAGCAACATTTTAGTCATTGATGTTCAAAAGAAAGCCAACATTGTTTTGAGTTTTCTCAGCAGAAATTTACATCCAAAATCGTAAGTAAAGGACAAGTGAAGTGTATGCATGAGTGTAATATATCAAGGTCAATTTTTGCGCGTGTGTGATGCGATTTATGTCAATATGGCGTATGGTAAGTAGATTGATGCTTCTAAAATTGTTGTTGCCGAAGGACTTTTAGCTATGATTTCTTTAGTGCTTGGGGAATCGTGGCCGTTATATGGCAGCGAAATCCTACATTCCTGCAAATATATTTTAATGGACAAAAAATCTGTAGCCATAAGGCGCCATACTATTATTTACTTTATCATAAACAAATAATTTGGGCTTTTCAGTTTATTATCATTGATTATTCAATCATTGGACAGTTATACTACACATTATCTAAGATTTGAGAAAACTAACATTGATTACATGAGAAGCTGATTACTATAACCTGTGATTTTGAGTCTTTTCAGATCCATGAAGCTTTTTATTTTGACAAGTTGACTGGAATGGTATTAAACCTGAGTATTTCACATACATGAAATGTTGTCCCATGTCACATATTGTCCCATTTTCAAACTCAACACCTCATGTAGAGATGTCAAGGAGTGTTGATCTACTCCTCATACCAGATTGTTTGCCATAATTTCCAAAGGGCTATTGATGTATGAAAAGCATTTTCTATAAAGTAAACATGTCTTCCTATGTATGCAGATAAACCTTGAAATTTGGCAAAACAGCAAAGTATTTTTCATGATCACTAGGTAATTTTTGTGATGATCATTATAATTTTTAAACTAAATTTCAGATTTACATTTAAACAAGCTTTGATCATATGAAAAGATATTTATCATAACCAGTAAACATGACACATGAACCAATTTTAACATTCATGTAATTATATAATTAAAGACATGTTGGTTACATTCTGTTTGTATTTGCAAATACAATGCTACTAGTGATTACTATATAGCACACCTTGCAGAAGATAATAGTCGAGTAAAATACCTAATAAACATTAATGGCATTAAGCTGTCCTTAACTGCAAATTTTCACTCTGATCATTTTTGCTTAGTCATTGGCAGAAAAAAAATTTGAGTTTTTTCTGAAAAGGTGAATTTGCTGGCACCGTATGTGGAGATGGGTAAAGGGTTGTAATAAACTTGCATGGTTTAAAGTTTGAGCTTTTCTATATCTATGAACTGCAACTTGTAGTACCAAATTTCAAACTTAACTCATTACATAGAAGTTTTAATGGGGGTTTCTAGGGGGGTCTATGCCTGACAACTTGATAGAATTTTTTTGAAAACTCTATCTGATTTGGAATAGCATTATTGTAAAATAAATTTTACGTTCCTAGACATGCTAATGAGACATGTATTTGGCATGATAATGAGCATAAATATTCGAAAAAACTTTCAAGTATTGTTCACTTCATTTATTTTTTTTTGATAAAAACGTAAGCAAAATATGTTGTTTTTACGTAAAAACGATGCCAACAAAATACATTTTGTATTGCTCTAAAACGCTGAAAATAGCATTTTCAAGGCTCTGAAATTCAAACTTTCTCAGGGGAGAATACCTCAGACCCCCCCCCAGGTGCGGAGCGCCACGGACGTTTTATGACTGATGTTTGCAAAATCCTAGATCCGCCCCTGCTAAATATCTAAGATAAAAGACACTGCATTGCATCCAAACTTGACAAAACTGGGTTTAAATCTTATTTTTGTGCAAGAAAATGTGCAAGATTTAGCAAGTACTTTCACTATTCGGCGATGAAAATGCTCACAAAACGACAAAATATTGCTGTAAGCGGGTTAAGGAAATAGGTATGCGAAATATATTCTATCGTATGCTAGCAAAAACAATTTCAAATGCTTGAAAAAACGAATAAAAATTTTCTGGAAGTTAGAGCTATGTCGACACTTTCGTTTCAGGGGGGTCTCAATTTCAGGACTTTCGTCCCGGATGAAGCAAATGGCACCCTTACCATGTTGTTCGTCATGGTCATTTTACACAAAAACAGTTGAGATAACTTCCGGTAAATAAAATGCATACAAACTTTTTATACAGGTCCTAGACTATAAGTTGAATTTGGTTGTTTGGTAGTTTCAATATCGCAATCACAACGAAGCGTCAAAGATTTATAATTCAAAAACATCATTAATAAAAAGCGAGAAAATGATCATTAAAGAAGTTTCAGCCAAAGGTCAGTGAGCAGCAGAATTTTGTGTGGCTTGTGAATTCTGCATTTGAGGTGTCTATCTGAAATTTACAAGTATTTTCAAGTTTTCGGTGTGAAATTTGCTTTTTGTGGCGAATTCATTACTATTAATTATCTTTGAGACACCCATGGGCCTTGGAAGAATAAACAGATTTGCAACATTACTAAAATTAGCAAAATTCTAAATTAATAAACAGAAACTGTAAATATAATGAGCAATATCAAATTATAGCAAAGATAAACCAGTATCAACAGTTCTACTTCTAAAACAATTTAAATGTTTCAATTACTCAATGATGTCATAGCATCAGTTTATTTTCAAAATTTTAAATTCGATATTGCTCGTCAGGTATAAATTTATAAATTTCATTTGATAATAACACAAAATCAATGACGCAACACATATTTCACAAAGATAAAATGTGGATAAAACGATTATTAATTTCTAGCATGCAACTTATAAAAATTGTTATAAAATTTGCAAATAGTATGGTAGGTAAATGAACAAAATAATTGCATACAAAATCGTTGCATAATAGTACTTACTAGCTAATAATGATCATATTTATACATCGTACGTAAGCACCTAAAACACGCCTAATGATTCTGTGCTTTTTCTTTTACTAACCTTTCGCTGATTGATGGTTAAAACTTTCAGGTTTCTATATTTATACTATTGAGCGTGATATGTGTCATTTGAGTTCATACGTGGGAAATTATTTTGTGCCACGGAATTTGAATCATCTTAAGAATAGATTGTTATGTAAAGCATAGATTTTGCTTATGATTTTTATTGTTTTCCATATGTTTGATTTTAAATTTGGAGCAAATTGATTGATTTGTGCAAAAAAAGTAAGTTTTAATGCTTTATGCCCGTAAAAGGGCTCTATGTTTCTGCAGTGCGTATATATTCATTATCTCATATACTTTTATGAAATCACCAAAAAACATTTGGCAGATTTTGTTACAAAAACCAACGGAAGCTAGAGGAATTTACTACATCTCGAAAATCATCAAATTCAGAGACCATATATATAACAAGCGATACAAGTTTATATCACTAATAAACGGATTTGCACATTTTGCTGATCGATGTTTCTATACTTATGAAATTACTCAAATATTTGAACAATTCAACATTAGCTGCAGAATTACTCTTTCAAAATAAATTCGCTTTGTGAGGCATGTATGTCATTGAATCATATCACAAAGTAAGTGAAATAACACATATTGCACAATTATACAATAATTCTTCAGGTAATCTATAATAAATATACTTTCTGGCATGATAGCAAGATTATAATTTATTCAAAATGTTTAAAAAGCTAAATAGATTGCAAACAATTTACATTTATCGACTGATTTATACATCGTAAACACACATAATGATTCAGTTTATTTTGTCTCACAAACCTTTTACTGGTTAACGGTTTAAGTTTTCAGGTTTTCGCATTTGACGTTCTTGGCAAATTAAACACTGTATGTATACCTTTTGAGTCGATACGTGGTATATTATTTTGTGTCACGGAATTTAAATCATCTTAAGAATAGATTGTTATGTAAAGCAAAGATACGGCATATGATTTTTATTGTTTTTGTTTATGCAATAGATGTCCATAACTTTAAAGTGTTACTGAAGTGAAATTTTCATATTTCGTTTTTCGATACAAACGTTTTCTCTGTATTTTACTGATCATTTTGAGCTATCGCCCACTGAATTTAGTCGATGGGAACGCATCGAACTTTGCGTTCAAACATGGCATATTTGCTTGTTTTGATGCGAATTTGACTTTGAGTGCGTGACGTCATTTAAAGGACGGAAGTTCAATGTTAAAGGTCTTAGTATATAAAAATTATATACGAACAAGCATATTTTCCACTGGAATTTTACATATTTTATAACTTCTCTTCGCAAAAATTGCGTATATTTAGTGACAAATGAGCAACACGCATAGGTAAGCAACATTTACAATCGATTAGAGTTTTATAAACTTCTTGAATTAACTTATATTTCTCAATAAACTGGGTGCCGCATCCTTGAGGAAGTCTGCGGTTTTAACACACACGCAATGTTATCAGAAACTAACTGTAACGCGCTTATTTCCAATCATCCAATGTATACTACTTTTATAAACTTCTGGATTAGACTTATCATTTTTATCATAGGGGTGTCGCATCCTTGACGTAGTCTGTGGTTTTAAAACCCATGCAATATTATCACAACGCACATAATATAAGGAGAATAATTTTTTATTAAGTTAGTCAAACGTAACGATACACCGCAAGTTAAAATATGGCGAGTAGGCAAAATTCTGCAAAAAATCGTCGAGGAGGACAATATTGTGTTGCTGGTTGGCCCAACGGAAAAAGTTGTACAAACAGTCAACACACAGAGGGTGTTTCAGTACAACGTTTGCCCATGAATGACAAGGAGAGGCTGAGTAAATGGACAAAATTTGTTAGGAGACATAGGCCAAAATTCGTTCCTCAGCAGTACTCTGTGCTATGTTCAATGCATTTGGCAGATTCTGCATTCACCGTGAACGCTAAACATGAGACGACAAAATCGCTAAACATGAGACGACAATTGTGCTCTGATGCTGTTCCAACCATAGACTCTGTAAAAGGCATTTCAATCCAAGATGATAAGGTTTCCACTTATATTGGTCGGCTATGTCTACTAAGATGGGATATGGAGATATGATTGTGGCAAAATGGAAATCCATTGCTAGGCACATTACAAACAAGCATGAAAACCATCCAGATGAGTTGTTTCCTAAATGTGCTCATGGAGAGCTAGATGAACGTCTATGGCTTCAAGTTGGTATGAGCATGCACACATTTAGGCAGCAAGACAGAATTGAGATTGTTAAAACGTCTAAAATGTTATTTACCACTTTTCAGATGGGATTGTATTCTTTTTAAGGAACTAAATCATATCAGCGACTTTCCTCCATTCTGTTGAAAAAATCTGTTCTCAAAGATGTTAAAAAACTATCTTCAGAAGCACAAACTAGTTGTCTCGAAGGTTTTCATTCAACATTAAATGGTTGGCATCCAAAGATGACCCATTTTTCTTGGCTTGGTACATATTGCAGGTAACTTGTAATCACTGTTCTCTATCTGCAAAGGCTTTTTTACTTGTTCCTAGTCAAAAAAAAAAATTACATAGTAAATGGTTTGTTCTGTTTAGGCACGTACTGGCAGTACTTCATTTCAATGAAAACCTTCACAGACAGCCAAAAAAACAAAAAATGGAACACCATATTATTCTGTGACATACCCAAAATTTAAATCAGGGGATGAAGTAGTAAGAACTGTTTCTTCAGCACCATCATATTGTAAATTTTAGCATGTATGCATTGGTACTCTTGACTTACACATCTAACCACTTGTCATTTTTCCAGACTATGTTAATGAAATCAAAAATGTCATGGTTCTTAGTTGTGAGGAATCCATGGACAACATATTTAAGAAGTATAAGGAAAAAAATCCCAGAAGCCTTAAACAAAACGTTCTCGGATCGAATTTCCAAAACTGAGGAAATCCAACGGCATTTGGATAGGAAACAACTATCTTCAACACAATTGTTTCCCACATGTAAGTTGTTCATGCTACCATGTATAATAGGTATGGCCAGTGCATTCTAAAAGTAAACACATTAAATTGTTATTTATAGATCAACAGCAAGATGTACTGCAAGCAAAAGGTTTAGACAAAGAAAAACAAGCTGCTTCAACAGGTCCTTCAGATCCAAAAAAAACGCGCTTATGCAAAAATTGTGGACAGCCAATGAAAGGACATCCAAAAAGTCATTGTCCACAAGAATTACTTGACAAATATTCTTAGCAGGCCAACTTTAAAGTTAGTTATAAAATAATATACTATGCTACAAAAAATGTTTCCTACTTCTATCAGTTTCTTTCCTGTGCTGACTTGTAGCCAGCATGTTCTTGGCCTAGGGGATTTCGTAATGGAAATCGTTTTCGGATGTCTGTGTAGATACATGCAGGTAATGGTATACAATTTTCCCAACCAAGGCATCCACACAGCCATCGAATGACCCAATGGTATGCAACTGCTCTCAAGTATCTATGAGAAATTCAAAATAGTAATTTCTATTTGATTATTTATTTTGACTTCACACAACAAAATTGTGAAGCATCACAGCACAATAATGAACCACATAAAGGTAAAAAGTAGAGATACATGGCAGGATATTAATCATTCGTTACAAAACAAATTTAGAAATCAAAAATGTACTAACTCATTTTCGTGTATTCTACGACACTTGTATGACCTTCCATCTTGGTCTCTTAGAAGTGAGCGAACATTCTTCAAGACTGTAGCATGTGTCATAATCGTGTACTCTTCGTGAAGAGTAACACAGCTAATTTTTTCAATGCTACCATCGAATACCAGTTTATGTAAAGTAGGCCCAACCTCTTGACAACAACGGTATTCAATGGCATCTGTCAGCAGTTGAGTACGACACAAGCTACATGCACACCTATAAAAAAGTGGTTTGTTATCATATTTATGCACCACGACATAAGGACAAAATAACATGTTTAATTCATGGTTTTATTTCTTCTAGAGTTCTAATAACATTTATCAACTTACCACTTATCTAACTGAACGGTTCCTTCGAACCTCGCTTCCAATGTTCGAGGTTCTAAGCCATCTGCGTCTTCTTCGACCGACACAAAATTCTCCGACTGCGTTCGCAAGAGGTTCATTTTCGTAAGGATTTACAACTGAATTAGCCACAATTGTATCCTCATCGCCGGAATTCGAAAGTAAATTTTCATTTGCCATATCTGAGTTTTCAGTATCCGAACTGCGTTCGCTTTCACTGCTTGAAGAACTCATATTTTATTGTGTATACGTGTTAAAAATCTAACAAAATACTAGTAAATCAATGCTCATACTTCGACTTCCGTCCTTTTAATTACGTCACATCCGTATAATATTTCAGTAGTAAAAATTCGCACGCGTAACCCAACTTTGAGCAAACATTTATTGATGATCCCGTGCTTCAATATGTATAAAAATTATACCAAAATGATCAGGAAAGATAGAACTATTTGATTATAGAAAAAAATCGATACCCAAAATTTCACTTCAGTAGCACTTTAAGCAATATTATCAATAGCAAAAAATGTTTATAATAAAGGGTTATCATAGATTACTTAAGCCCCTTTTACACCATACCGGATTACTATCGTAGCAAGTTGAATTTCTTTTGTATTAAAAGGAAGTGAATTTGTTCAACGTCGCAAACACAATCAAATGGACTTAATTTATCAACTTTATAAGCCTTTACTTCGTACAGTTATCCTTTTAAAGCAAATGAACATGTCGTGATGAGCGAATCCGATATAGTGTAAACGCAGCCTTAGTACAGCTTACTTTAAACATTAGACGTTATTTGTAGTGCATTATTTATATACTAAAATGGGTGTATGTTCATCTTTAATTTTGGGAAGGGCTCATACTTAAATATGCATGTTGTGATGCATACAAAACAATGGATTTTAAAAAGGCTTAAATTGGCTAATTATGAAACTTTGAACTCTAGCCTACACAATTATCAATCTTCCTTACCCGCCCATACAGTTATATGTTCTGATGAAGTCTGTTTTAAAGCAAGAATGATTTGATTCCACACTAGCCAATTAATGTGAGATAAGCATTGTTTAATACAAACTTAAATGAAAAGAAATAATCGAATATAGTTTTATTCAGTTATTCTGTGTTAATAATGTGATAACACGAATTTAAGCCATCATTCACATCGATTTTCATAGCTCTTAGAAAACTTGCTCTGTTCTTTTGTGATTTAAAATTTTAGCTGTATCTATGAAATTCCTTGATATCTCCTGTCATAATGAAAGCAGAGTTTAAAAACATAAATAAGACATAAAAAAACTTAATAGTACTTAGTAGCTAATAATGATCTTATTACATCGTACGTATGCACCTAAAACACGCCTAATGATTGTGTGTATTTTGTCTTGCAAACCTTTCTCTGATTGATGGTTAAAACTTTCAGGTTTTCATGTTTATACTGTTGAGCGTGATATGTATCCTTTGAGTCGATACGTGGCATATTATTTTGTGCCGCACATTCTAATTATCTTAAGAATAGATTGTTATGTAAAGCATAAATATTGCTTATAATTTTTATTGTTTTCCAAATGTTTGATTTTAAATTTTGAGCAAATTGATTGATTTGTGCAAAAAATGTAAGTCTTAATGCATTATGCCCGTAATAGGACTCTATGTTTCTGCATTGCGTGTATATTCATTAACTCATTACTTTTATGAAATCACCAAAAAACACTTGGTAGATTTTGTCACAAAAACCAACGGAAGCGGGAGGCATTTGCTACATCGCGAAAATCTTCAAATTCATTGGCCATATCTATATAACAAGCGATACAAATTTATATCACTAATGAACGGATTTGCTTATTTTGCTGGTCGATATTTCTATACTTATAAAATGACTCAATATTTGAACAATTCAACATTAGCCGTAGAATTACTCTTTCAAAATAAATTCGCTTTGTGATGCATATATATTATTGAATCATATTACAACGTTAGGGAAATCACACATATTGCACAATTATACAATATTTCTTCAGGCAATCAATAACAAATATACTTTCTGGCATGATAGCAAGATTATAATTTATTCAAAATGTATAAAAACCTTAATAGATCGCAAACAATTTACTTTTATGGACTGATTTATGCATCGTAAACACACATAATGATTCAGTTTATTTTGTCTCACAAACCTTTTACTGATTGATGGTTTAAGTTTTCAGGTTTTCGCAATTGACGTTCTTCACAGATTAAGCACTGTATGTATATCTTTTGAGTCGATACGTGGCATATTATTTTGTGTCACGGAAGTTAAATCATCTTAAGAATGGACTATTATGTAAAGCAAATATACGGCATATGATTTTTATTGTTTTTGTTTGGGCAATAGATGATTAAAACTTTGAGCAAAATTATCAATAGCAAAAAATGTTTATAATAACACATTATCATAAATTACGTAGGCCCTGTTTACACTATACCGGATTACTCTCGTAACAAGTTAAATTTCCTTTGTACTAAAAGGCAGTGAATTTGTTCAACGTCAGAAGCACAATCAAATAGACTAAATTTATCAACTTAATAAGCCTTTAATCCGTAAAGTTAACCCTTTAAAGCAAATGAAGATGTCGTGATGAGGGAATCCGGTATTGTGTAAGCGCAACCTTAGTACAGCTTATTTTAAACATTTGACGTTATTTGTAGTGCATATATATATATACTAAAATGGGTGTAGGTTGATCTTTAGTTTGTGGGGGATGGCTCATACTTAAATATGCATGTTGTGATGCATACAAAACAATGGATTGTAAAAGAGCTTAAATTGGCTAATCATGAAAATTTGAGCTCTAGCATACACAAATGTCAAAATCCGTACGCCCATACAGTTATATGTTCTGATGAAGTCTGTTGCAAAGCAAGAATGATTTGATTCTCCACTAGCCAATTAATGTGAGATAAGCATTGTTTAATACAAACTTCAATGAAAAGATATAATCAAATATCCTTTTATTCAGTTATGCTGTGTTAATAATGTGATGACACGAATTTAAGTCATCATTCACATCTATTTTCATAGATGTTAGAAAAATTGCTCTGTTCATTTGTGATTTAAAATTTTTGCTGTCTACATCTTTGAACTGTCTCTTGTAGTACTAAATTTTTAACTTAACTCATTACATAGAGGTTGGAATTGTGGACTCTAGGGTGTCTATGCCTGACAACTTGGTAGAAATTTTTAAGGACAATATCTTTTTCCTAATAGCATTATTGTAAAATAAATTTTATGTTTCTAGACATGCCAATGAGCCATATATTTGGCATGCTAATGAGCCTAAATATTTGTCAAAACAATAAAATATTGTTCACTTCAGTTTTTATTTTTGAAAAAAACGTAAGGAAAATGTGTTGTATTAAAGCAAAACGTTGCCCACAAAGTACATTTTGTATTGCTGTAAAGCGCTAAAAATGGCATTCTTAAGGCTCTGACATTCAAAAGTTCACAGGGAGGATGCCTCCGACCCCCCCTCCAAGTGCGGAGCGCTTCTGAAATTTTATGACTGATGTTTAAAAAATCCTAGATCCGCCCTTGAAAAGTCTTGTGGTGTTAGCCGTGGCAGTCATCCCACGAATTTAATCGTGCGATGTAAGTTTCAGACATTAGCATTCTTCCTTTTCTAATTTATCTTAATATAAAAATTAGAGCCAAACAGATCATTTTCAAAAATTCATCATTGTTTTAACTATAAAATATTTATTTAAGGTGACGTTTCGTTTTGACTCGACACATTTGCAGACTAATTACAGATAACGTGTTACAAGAAAGAATATGCAAAACAATATTAGGATATTTACATAAAGGTATCAGATTACTGTGGATGTGAAAGTCCTAGAGATGGAGTTTATGTCGATCATATGGGTCGAATGACTGCCACCAGAAGAGATATAAACAGCAAAGTCCAAAAATACATTTCTTGAAGCCAGTCACCTGATAGCAAGAGACTTGCCTGGCGGGAAACGGACTCGTGTTAAAAAAAAAACTGTCCAACATAAAATTTTAATTATAGCCAATTTGTAGGAAATTATTATTTATTAACAGTAACGATTTGTCTCTACACTCAAGATATCATCAGACTATAACTAGAATTTTACCTTAGGTAGTTGTTTTTGATACGAATCCGACGAGATCACACTATCAACTACTATATTGGAAGTATGGTGGCTAGCATAAGCAGCAAATTAATTCACTCAACTCTCATTGTAAGAGTTTTAATTTAAAGGGAAAAACAAAAACAGGTAGTTTTTCCTTAAAACAAATAATTATGCACATATTAAGCAATCAAAACCAAGTCACATGTAATCAAAATACTGTAATACTGTATGTGTTCTTTGTATACTAAATGATATTCACGAGATGCCAAAAACAAACGCACCAACCAACGATGATTGATTGTCGTTGTTTTTATGCATCGTAAGTTGTGCGGGAACCGTCATGTGAACTCAATCATGTAATAATGCTTGCATTATATATCTACTTGGGATGTCATATGTTGACCAACTCTACATAGCTCAAAAAATAACGGAGAAAAACTTTGGACAATAAAGTCAACCTGTATTTACGCCGGTTCACAAATGACATGATAAAAAGACTCCTTTTATAATCACTGACCCCCTTAGTCAACTCAACAAATCTTTTGGACTTCTTATACAAGTATAGAAAGTCAATAATTCAACGGTCAAAAAGTTTCTCTTTTAGCAAAGTAAAAAAAGTTTGTTTCCGGTCTTGGTACTCCCACTTTACCTAATTGGGTTTGTGACTCGTTTGTCTGACGTAACATTTTGTTTCTTAACTAAAAAAGTCTGATGATGGTTGTAGTTAGCTATTGTTGGCAATTGATTGAAATAAATTTAAAATACTTTTATAATATCATATACGTACACTGTCAAAAATTAATATTAAAACAACCAATTCTTCTCTCAGCTAAATATATTTTATTGATCATATATTTTATTGATCAAACGGAATTGGTCGATTCGACTCATTCTTCTTACGTTAGAACAACGTGATTATTATTGGTAAGCAGTTTTAACCAATTTTTGAATGGTTATACTGTTTGCCTGTGTCATTGCAATGTGTAATGACCAATTTGTAATTGGTGAAGTTATAATTCAAAATGGCGGATTTGAAAGTGTTATAGCCCTACTCAGTGTTTTGAAACATAAAAACGCATCTAATTATTGCATAAAAATGGTTTGTAGACAAAAAATTGCTAACTTTTTACGTAAACAGTGGAAATAAAAAAACAAACGTAGGTATTATTCTCACGCAAAACATAAATCCAAAAACTTTTGTTAAAAATTTATTTCAAACACCTATTAAAAGATTCCGGTGAAACACTAGATGTCTTAGTTACGCTTGCACTCTTGCTGTTTACGACCAGGATGGAATGCCCTGTTTAGACACACCTACAAATGTCACACTAACATGACCACTGGCAGGCCAAGTCAGAAGGACTTAAATAGACAAATTAGCTCATATTCAATTTGTGGATCACATGTGACATAGCGCATTTGCTACTGTATCTTTGAGAAAGATGGCAATCTTTTTTAATGGGCTACTCCTATTCACAATGCGAGCAAAACGAACATGACAAACTACAATTGTTTCAGAAGTTAGGATTTTTACCCCATAACGTTAAATCTGATACGTAGCCCACACAGATTTTACAACATTTAGGATTTGTGTTAAATTCAATAGATGTGACTATATCTATATCCTTTGAGAAACACAACAAATTATGTGAGATTGTCAGTGGGGGCTAAAATCTGACTCTCCTAGCATACGGGAAGTGGTCAAATTATTTGGTATGATGGTCGCTTGTTTTCCTGGCGTTGAACATTGCCCACTGTTTTATCGTGATCTTGATAGGAACAAAACAAGTCTAACATGGGTAACTTTGATGGGACATTGAAACTCTCTCCTTCGGCGCTGGAAGACGTATCTTGGTGGATTAATCCTGTATATGAGTCCAAAAAACATCTGAATCACGGCAAGATTGCCACGTATTGTATACCAACGCCTCTACCAAGAGATGGGACGCAAGTATTAACAAACAGTTAATCGCCGAAAAAGACTCGCATATTAATTGCCTGGGACTCAAAGCAATACTGTTTGGGCTACAATCTCTCTATATAGATTTAGTCCACACCCACATTACACTAATGACTGACAACACCATTTCACTTGCATATATTAATCACATAGGGGGGGGCTGCCATTCTCACCATTGCGATAAAAATGCAAGGAAAATATGGGCGTGGTACAGAATCAGGGACATATGGCTAACTGTCAGCTATATACCTGGGAAACTAAATGTGGTGGCTGACAAAGCTTCTAGAACATTTGATGATTTCAAAAAATGGAAGCTTCATATTGAATTATTTCTTGAAATATCAGCATATTTTGGGACCCCAGAAGTTGACATGATTCTTCTAGACTAAACTATCAACTTAAACCTTATGTCTCCTGGCACCAAGATCCACAGGCGTGGGCTATTGACGCTTTTTGCATTGATTAGAGTAAATTGTTTCTTTATGCTTTTCCATCTTTTTGTGTTATATCACAAGTTTTACAAAATATAGAAATGGCCCAGGCACGGACAACTCTCATTGTGCCGAATTGGCAAACAAAATCCTGGTATCTGATGCTAGCAAGATTAATTCTTCGCCAACCCATTCTTCTACCCAAAATAAAGGAACGTGAGCTTACCATTCAAGGAAACAAAAGAACATCCACTCAAAGGGAGACTGAGACTGATAGCTTGTCTCTTATCCGGAGATCACTCTCAAGTAAAGGCATTTCACCACAAGCTAAAGCAACAACATTTAATTCCTGGCGGCAAGGAACACAAAACCAATATCAGGTGTACGTTAACAAATGGCAACTCTATGTTAATAAACGGAATGCAGATTCCCTTGATCTAACTTTACAGGTAGTTAGACTTTCTACAGCACTTATTTGATCATGGGATGAGTTACATTTGCATAAACACTCCTCGACGTAAGTTATCTTCATTTGTTTTTACTGAAGAGAATTCTACGATTGGTACACATTATATGGTTCAGAGATTTATGAAGGGAGTGTTCCAATCTAGACCAGCGCTACCAAGGTATCAAGTGACCTGGGACACCTCCATTGTTTTAGAGTATTTAACGACATATCCGGCAAAAGAAGACTTAACCCTACAACAGCTTACTCATAAGTTGGCATTGCTCAGTATATTAGTCACAGGGAAGCGTGCACAATCACACCACCTCATTGCGTTTTTCATCGGTTTTACAATAATAACATTGTGTCTCAACGTGTGATGCGGAGTTTGGGAATGCCATTCTTTCAGCGTCTAAATAAGACAGATATTGGATGAGAATTCTCTTTAGTTGAACTTGGCCGAGAGTTGAGAACGCATATACTTGCATGTATAGTGCAAGAGAAGGAAATACTTGAACTCAAATCTGTTACTATTTCTGGATATGTTTGATACATCTCCAATTAAAATATATTTATAACTTAATGTCGTACTTGCGTGTAGGCATGAATTGTGTCCACATGACTTTCAAATCTCGTGGGATGTCTGCGGTAGATCTAATAGAATAAGGAAATTAACGATACTTACCTGTAGTTGAATTTCTTGTTCAATTTCCTAATTTTTTATGAGCTTGGTCAATGAAAAGAGAGGCTATTCCCTAAATCAGTACTTTGTCATTGTATTTTTTAGTGTATCGTCTTTGGAAACTGGAAGCTTGTATGCTAACAATAACCACCAAATATTTCTTGGGTAAAGTCAAACTTAAA